TCATAGATTGTCGGGTTCACGCCAAAGTCTATGAAGAGAGTCTTGATTGTGTGAGACATGCAGCAAGATTTCTTGCTAAAGATCACTACCGACTTCTCGGCGATCATCTTCTGTACCTTATCCATTATTGTTATAACGTGGATTTAGTGTTTCTAAGGTTTGCAAATGGGTGTCTTTTATCTGGAAGAGAGATTAGGGATGAAAACGGAAAGCTAGAGATCTTATAGGAAGATTGTGATATCTTTGAGTGAAGATGAGAAGTGATTTTGAGTTTATGAGTCTGATGTAGTGAATGGTCTATTAAGTATCCTTTATATATAGCTTTCTAAGGTACGTAAGTCTATCAAATTATGGGTTTGATATAGCACTTTTTTTAGAGAATCAACTTTACAGTGCGAAATAAAGAGCACCTTTTAAATAATGAAATTAAAATCGTGGGAGTATCTAAGGAATTTGAGGCTATGATCGGTTGACACCTTATTGACCCTTTGCCTCTTGCAGGCTTGCAGCTAAAGAATAAAACTATCAATTAATGGGTATAACGTACAGAAAACAAAATCTCTTAGATGTGAGGAATATTTGATACGGACGAACAATGTTGTGTCTTTATAGTACGGCCATACATTTTCATTGTCAAACAGAAATATTTTTATCACATATATTAATTGTTTACATTTAATTAATGTTGACGCTGCATAGTGCTGACCTTCAATTCTTTTTGTTTTCAAATGAGAAAAGTTAGGAGTAAACTAGAATTAGCGCGCGGCCGTAGATTTTTAGTTGTTTCAACTTATTTTTTATTGTTGACAAAAAAAAATTATTTTTTATTTATTTAATCTTGGTCATTTTCTAACCAATTTTGTCAAATATATGTTAAGAAAAAAAAACAGTTTGGGCCTATATCCTGTTATAATTTGTTTGTTTGTTTATTTCGTTTAAGTTTAGGCCCAATTAATCTATCAATTCTTTTTTTTATAATATTGGGTGTTGCAGCCTTGCAGGTATATCAATTCCGGTTTTGCAGGTGGGCTAAGAAACCCGTACAAACCAACGGCTTTTCTGTATGAAGAACAGTTTTCCTCTTCGTTTCACTTTTTCCATTATTTGGAAGGCTTAATCGTTAACATTGCCCTGCTTCATAAGTCATTTCAAAATTTTGAAAACACATACTCTGGGAAGGGATATGGAAAGCTAAACAACACATACCCAAGTTTCTCATCTTGCTTGTATTTCAGCACATTCACAAGCCTTCCATAACTAAATGTAAAGTTTCAGTTTTTAATAGTTAAGAAACACAAGATAGAAGCAAAACCTCATCCCACATGTATTTTGTTCTATAGGAACAAAGAGAGCTATGCTTGGAATCAGTTAATCAAGTGCATTGAAACTCACAGTGAGACAGAAAACTCTTCACCAGCATTAGCCTTAGAACAAATCTCTCAAAACTATATGTGAAGACTTTCAGTCGTCTATTTATAAGTCTATACCTAACTTAACCCAATTCTCTTCTTGCTAATTTTTGATACTTTGAAACATAATATCATCTTATTAAAACCCATGCTTGGATTCAGTTAAGCCCAGATGAGCTGAAGCACACATTTAGGCTAAGAAATCTCACCAGCATTATTGTAAACAAATTCAAGACTAAACGCAATCTTTCAACTGAAGTTGTAGCAAAAACAGGACTCGGAATCACAAACCTTCGACTAAAATGTCCATGAGAATGGCTTCCGTGCCGGTGTTTGGATACTTAAGTTTAGCCTCCAATTCCCCCATTGCAAGTGATTTTATAGCTCTCGCCGACTATCTAAAATCAAACGTATTAAACCTCACCAGTTCAAGCCAATAACCTTTACAATTTACAAATTGGATAAGTAATTTCGCGTGAGACTCACTTTGGAAGCTTATCCGAAAAATCATTCTCCGGCTGCCTGTAAAAATCAAAATCAAGCAACCTTAAGCTTAGCTTCCATATCGTGGTGAGAGAAAACCCAGAAACTATAAACACGCAAATCAAACACTAAGATTATCACTGATTGCTGTTATTCTCAGTTTGAGATGAATAAGGATTGAGAATGGACAAACGCATATCACTGATTACTGTTTGAACAATGGCATATTTCAGATCATCTCGAACATTCAAAGAAGCACTTTCGAAAAAATTCACAATAGAAAGAAAGAACCAAACGAAGACACCACAAACTCATATCAAGGTTGGATTAAGATTTGGAAGGTGGGAGTAATAGTTTACCTCAAATTAATCGATACAAGTATATAATATATACATCTCGCTTCCATAAGTTCCAATTCCTTCGGGATTAATAAATTCCAGTTTCTCATAGCCAACCAAATAGAGAAGCAAATCAACATTAGCTCAACATTCACGAAATCTCATGTAGAAGTGAAGCAAAACTTTTCATCTCTAGCTAACTGATTGAAAACGATTGGAGAAGCAAAAAAACACCAAAACCAAACATACAAATTAAGCACAGTCGCATATCCGGATTTATGAAAAGGGATCTCAAAAACCTTACCCGTTAACTCATCTGGACATAGCAGATCCGAAATTAAGATCGACGAACAAAGAGAACCAGAGAACCCGCCGTCATCATTAGGATCGTCAGGAACCATCTCCGAGCAACGGATCGAAATCTGTAACAGCACCACTAGCTCCGCGAGATGAAAAAAATCGAGAAAGAGAGAGAAGTCTCTCGAAATTCCAATGGAGGATGGACTCTGAAGAATGAAAAGGAGAATTGTTTGAAGATCAAAGGGAGATTGAATCGGAGACTCGTGTTTCGTTCTCGACGAAGATCTTCATTTTTTCGCGAAACAAAGAGAGCATGAAATTGAAATTGTCGAAGAAGAACCAAATATTTTCTTTAAAATTAACCAAACCGGACCAATACGTGGCTAAATAAACCAGGGAAAATGCTGATTGGTATTATTTAGAATGTTTTGATTAGCCAAACCTTTTAAATGATGTGTCACTTTTTCCCTGCTTGAAAAAGCTGATGTGTCAACTCCTGGAGAACACAAGGGATGTTATTAGTGTGTTGATTAGGACCCATTGGATCTTAATATATTTATCTAAGGCATGCGATGTTAATTGCATTGACCAGCAAAATTTGAACTAGAACTCGAACATGTATTATGTATTTATTTTATTTTTATTTATTGGGAACTTTATGTGTTATGTACGTATTTGATGCTTTACAAAATTTTCTGCTATGCATGGGATCCTATTTTTTGCTTATTAGTAAATTAGTAATGAAAAGTTATTTGTAATATTTTGTGAGCCAAACCGAGATCTACATCAAAACCTTAATTACAGCCCAATCTTTGAGATATACACAAGAACATGAAAAGAGTAGTTTAAAAAAAGTAAAAAAAGGATGAACATGACATGATATATAAAAGTCGAACTCTACTTCGTGAAGGCTCGAGATCGTAAGGTATATCTCCAGAATACTAATTTATTGTTGTGTTGAAAATTACGTGGCCTCATCACTTGCCATCAAAACTTTTTTTTTTTTAATTTTCTCGAAATTTCTCATCATAAATCGATTTGGGAATAAAGGTAAGTTTTGTAAGATTCTTAAATCGCTAAATGCGATCTCATTCCATGACGATAATCTCAAATGATCGAAGGTGTCCCAACACTGATACGAAGAGTCGTTATTCACATACTGAAATATTACAAGGTGATCGACGATCGTATTCATATCCCATGTTGCGTACGTACGATAACAGATATCGTATCTAATTCCATGCCCTCATGATCAAACTATTCTGTCACATTTTCTTTTTCAAGATCGTATTCAAATAACTGGCAACTGCATGTGGACGCGAAATCCACAACGGAGTTTTGGATTGAAATAAAGAAATCGGGGATCAAACATTCGTGTAATAAGTCAATGATTCGACGTTATAATATGGAAGAATATAAGGATTTGTTTTGAGTGAAATGAGTACAAAATTGAAAAAGAAAAAAAAACAAAACTAGGATAATATTGTGGCTGTTTAAAATTCAAAAGAGTCAAAACTATAAAATCAAGTTTTAAAAATCCTTAAAATAAATTTTTACGCTGGTAGTTACTTAAACAAAACATACCGACAACATATATTTAATTATTTATGAATAGAGTTGTGTTATTGATGCCAATCAATATATTTATCATCACGTGTACTGTTAAAAACAAATAAATAGAAAAGACAACAGAAACTTTCACGAATATATGTATAGAAATCTGTTGTTAAAGCCAATCGATATTCAATTTAACATCCCTATATACAAAGACAACATGTACAAAGTAACTTCCACAATTTTTTTTTGACAACATATCCAGAGAAAAGAAAAAAAAAGTTCACGAATATGTACAGAAATCATTGAAAGACTCCACAGGTTATATATATGGACGTCAGTCCGATTGCAGTAGCTCCAAGCAATTAACTAGCTAGTGTCTAGTTGATTTCTGATCCGTTTTATACGATGTGTCGATGTCATGTTGATGAGTTTAACTCGTGGGGGAAAAGAGAGAACCAAGGAAGCATTTGAGGTTTGGGCATTGAAAGCCGGATTTAAGCTCACAAAGATGATTTACGGCGCTTATTCTTCTTGGATCCTTGAATTATACCCAAGCTAAAATGGAACGTACTCATACGTTTAGCATAGTGTTTAAAAAACAATTCCACTCTCGAGTGTGGTATATTTGTTGTTGTGGAATCTCCTTCCGCAATTTGTTGTTGAATTTGTATGTCTTTTGAGTTTATGTTATACATTTTAGTCCTTTCATCCAAACCCATCTCAAGGAAATGCGTGAAACTTAAAACGCCAAAAAAGCGAGTAAAAAGTAAAAACCCTTGACACTCTTTTAAAATTTCAAATTTTGTTTACGTGAAACAATTACACCCTTTGAATAAGAAAGAAACAATAGATTGATGTGATGGTGCATATAGTATTATAAATGTGTTAAAAGTTTCCCCATATTTTGCCTTCATCATGCCGACGCAGCTTCCTTTGTTATATCAGCCGGATTTTCCTACACAACCCAAGAAAACATAATTAACATCTTTTGTACGTAAAAGATGTATACTCTTCATGATAATGAGATATCTAACTAGTTACGCTAATTACTAAATATATATTAATTGAATTTGTATACCTCTACAACATCAACTTTATCTCCGTCCTCTAAAACCGGAAGTTCATCGTTTTCCGTAGACACAACTTCATCGTCTTCCGTGGCCGCGACTTCATCGTTTTCCGTGGCTGCGACTTCAATGCTTTCTTCGGCTTCAACTTCTAGTTCTTTTGTTACCGGAGTTTGTACATCCGGTTCTTGTTCTTCAACCGCAGGAGATGGAATTTCAGTGTCAACAGCTTCAGCAACATTGTCCTCTAAAGTTGTTTCTTCTTCTTCTACCACCTTTTCATCAATATTAACAACTTCTTCTGCTAAGCAAACCGGAATGAAACATTTACGTCAATGTTTTTTTAAAAGTAAGATGGTAAAGCAATCCAATTTAAACCTAAAGTATCTAAATATATAAACATATTGTTTTTTGTCAGAATATTAATATATAAAACATGCAAACCATTTAGTTAGATTATGTTTATAATTTGCGTACCCTTTTGTTCATCAACAGGCAAAACGCTCTCATCATCTACGTCGTTAGCGATTTCCACAGCCAAAACATTCTCCGGCGTTATCTCCGTCACAGGTAGCGAAGTGGTTGTTTCCGTTTCCTCCGGTTTTTTGTCATCATTCGTGACTCCCGCCGGCTTCTCACCGCAACCTCCCCCAGCTTGCTTTTCCTCTGGTTTCGTGGTATGATCTTCGACGGTGGTTTCGTGAGGGTCAACGGTAGCTGCGGTGGAGATGTCTTTGGTTTTCCGGCACCGGCAGCTTTCTTGTCTTTTGATTGTCTCGTTCCCTTTGCCTTTCACTGATTTAGCTTCCGTAGGTTTTCTTGTGTTTCCCGTGACAACATCGTGTTTCGATTTTCCACAACCCATTTTTTAATCCCTCTTAATGAAAATCAGTTGATTTGTATGAAGAGAAATGATAAAGGGTTGATGTTAAAAATGATGAAACTTTGTGATGGATTTTTATTGAAGGAGATTAACAGAAACGATAAACCAATTCCAGTTGTTTCGTTTGCGTTGTGATTCACTTTTGTTAGAAAATGTTTCTTTCTTTTGTTTTTTAGTTATTGTTCGGTGTTCCAACCTTAAGGCGACGCTATTTTTTTTCAACTGAAATTTTAAATCATTGATGAGTTTTTTTTTTTATTATTATTATTTTTTTTTTTACTTTTATTAATAGAATAGGTTATGTTTAGTTAGAGAGACACCAGAGGTAACTAAACCAAAATTATTAACAAAAAAAAGAGAAAATTATGTAAGCAACAAATAATAATCCGTCATCGAATAAAGCTGGTATACAGAAAACAATCAAATTTATCTTTCTCACTAAAGATTAATGACAGTATAAAATACATATATTTGCTTATACAATAATTTTATACTAACTTTGTAACATCCAGTTTGAAATTAATGAAATTGTTTATAAATGCTGCAAGAAATTTTAGAGTTGGAGAAGGGGTGGTGGTATTTATAAAAAGTGAAGTAACGGGTACATTAGTTTAAAACGAGTACATGTAAGGACTGGTTTTGTAAATAATGTATTGTTGTAGGTCCAAAACATTAAACCCTAAATCTTTCATTTCCGGCGACTTAACCATCGTGCTTCTTCTCTCAATCTGGCGACTGTACTCAAAATCCGAGGATCACGAGCCATGCAATTTCTCCAGAACTCTCGTAGAATCGCTAGGGTCTTAAAACCCATCACTATTATCCCCGAGGCTGATCTGAGATTCGTCTCCTCCGCTTCGCAAATCTCTGGTTCCTTCCAAGTGCGGAATCATTCGTCTTCAACTTCCTCTGTATCACAAGGTACTTTCTTATTTTCATTTCTCATTTCATATTTCGAAATTAATCTATCCGTAGCTTTGGAAATGGTATTGTTTCTATCATACACGAGATTGTGCGTTTAGTGTGATTTGAGAACTTCTCTATATTCAATTGAAGAACAGTGTGTAGCGAGCTGTTAAATTGCTAAAGGTTGGAATTGTGTAGCCAGTGAAGGTGATGATCCTGAAAGATTCGAATTTTGGATCCATTTTATGCAAGAAATGAGATCACTTTTTGCCTAAGTAGTGATGAAATTCTAGCTTGAGATTCTAAAGGGTTAAACTTTCTTTGAAACTTAGTTTGTAATGAAAACAGGCTTTACAGTGTATGTGGTGGAAATCGAAGCATACATAAGATTCCCAAATTGGATGAGTTAATTCAGATGACGATGTTTTGCAGGGATTGATAAATGCAATCACTTTCACAGCAACTCTCTGAGCTTCTTGATCCAAAGATCACATTTTTCCTCTGAAGCGGCAAAGCTTGCAGGAAATCCTACAGGTTTGTTAATACGTCGCTATGTTTTGGAATTTACAAATCTTGAACCCCCACCAAGTATGGTTTCTCATTGCATTTCCTCTCTCTCTCTCTCTCTACGCAGTAACTGTCAAGGAATTGTATGATAAAATCATTGATTCCGCAAATGTCAAGAGATCAATGCCTCCAAATGCTTGGTTGTGGTCGTTGATTGAGAACTGTCAGAATCAGGATGACATTCATCTTCTCTTTGACGTTCTTCAGAATCTCCGGAGATTTGTAAGTACTTTAAACATGCCTTGTTCTGTTCCAATTGAGACTTCTTATATTTATTATTGTGAGTCGATGCTTAAAATTTGCTGTTTCTGGATTACAGAGATTGTCCAATCTTCGTATTCATGACAACTTCAATAGCAACCTATGCCAACAAGTTGCTAAGACTTGTGTGCGTGTTGGGGCAATTGACTCTGGTACTCCCATTTTTGCATTTTTTTTCTCTAGTAGTTACTTTTGCTTTGGCTTTTATTTTAAACTAAGCATGCAGTTATTTGTGGTTGCAGGAAAGAAGGCTTTGTGGAAACATAATCTTCACGGTTTGACACCCAGCGTTGCATCTGCACACCATCTATTGGTATTGCATGTCTACAATTTTTTCTCAGTTGTTTCTTTGGTACGTATAGACTCTTAAGGCGAATTCTGGTTTTTCTGTAGTCATATGCACTAGAGCACAAGAAGTCTGATATCATGGTAGAAGTAATGAAACTCCTGAAGTCAAATGACCTGCCTCTACAACCCGGCACAGCAGATTTAGTTTTCAGGTGTGTAAAAAAATTGTTCTGTTGCTCCATTTTTATGGTTTCGCTTTGGAAAAGTTGAAAAGTTGCTCCATATCATGTGCTAAATGGAAAAAAAAACTGGAATCTTGCAGGATCTGTCATGATACAGATAAGTGGGATCTACTAGCCAAGTACTCTAAGAAATTCACGAGAGCTGGAGTTAAGTTGAGGAAGACCACATTCGATGTATGGATGGAATTTGCTGCCAAGAGAGGTACTTTTGGTTTCTTATCTTATACATGCATTGATTGTTCTATAGAGGGTTTTTCCTACTCTGATGCCGATTGCTGATTCATGTCAATTTTGTTATCAGGGGATACCGAATCATTGTGGAAAGTAGAGAAACTGAGATCAGAGACATACAATCAACACACTCTCTCTACTGCATTCTCTTGTGCAAAGGTTTAATACATCTCTTTTCTCGGTCCTCTCGTGTTATAATCAATATTATCGAACTTTCATCCTTATCAAGATTACTCCTTTCGCAGGGTTTCCTACTAGAAAGTAAACCTGAAGAAGCTGCTGCCGTCGTCCAAGTTATCTGCCAGGTAAGCTCAAAGCATCCGCTTAATAGATTATCCCTTCTCTTCTGATATATAAACCTTTTTCAGCTTTTTGATAAGTGTTGAGCTTCGTAACATGTGTGTGCCTCTGACTCTGCAGACATACCGTGACGATAAAAAGTCAGTAGTGTCTACGGAATTTAAGAAACTGGTAAATGAGTGGCCTGTGGATGTTATCAGGCGCCAAACCGAAGAAGAAGATAAGAAGGTTAAAAATTATCTCTCTGTCTGCTTTGTTAAACCGTGAAACCGAAACTATATACATAATCCTTCTTTGTAAATGATGAAACAGGCTCTAGCTGCTTCGTTGAAGTCTAGCATTCCTTCCATGGTTAATGCGTTGCTAAGCTCGGGTTTGACCGTGAACGTGGATTTAGATGAGCTATACAAGAACGAAGCTCTTCTCAGCTAAACGATTGAATCAAAAATTTCAGAAGCTTTTCATGGCTCCACAGGTTTGAGAGTTTTAACTCTTTCGGACTGAGTTTTTGCTGTGATCTTGTCCTTTTCACTGTAGAATCGTAGAGAAGAGGGGAAAGAACAGATTGTTGTTCAGTTTCTTGCAGCCTGCGGTAACTCTTTTATCTTGTTTAGGAACTTCATCCAGAATGAGAAGAATTGTCCCGTTTTTGTAACAATTTAATTAGTAAGAAAAAGAAATTGAATAATTTAATAAATTTGTTTGTTGATTTCATCCACTGAGTGTCATGTCATATTATATGTTCTCACTTCTCACCATAGAAAAACAATTTAATAAAACATTTACAGCAAATAGACATTGAGTTTCTTTGAGGATTGCATGATTTTTTATAGTGACTTTACACAACATAACGACAAGGAAACAGAAAGAGCAAATTATAAGAGAACATTTTTTACTCTTTTGGAGTAAAAAAACAAAGGAAGCTTCATAGCATCAATAACAACAAGAAGTATAAACGCAACTGAAGCAATAAGAGAGTGATGGCAACCGAAACGATCGATTAGTTTTGTCTAATTTTCCAAAAAATTATTAATATATGCAGAGTTTGCCTTTTGGATCATGCCACCTAGAAATGTTTACATTAAATTTAAGACTTTATTAATAAAAGCTGTGTGGTCTAACGTGACAGTTTGGCCGAGTGGTCTAAGGCGCCAGAATCAGGCTCTGGTCCGAAAGGGCGTGGGTTCAAATCCCACAGCTGTCATTTGATTTTTCTTTAAACAAAATAAAAAGGGTCAGAGAAAGATTTGCTATGGGCCAACATTGCTGTTGTGAAAACATTTTGGGTAGTTGGACATTTATATTAGGATTAATTAACTACGGAATCTACTGTATACTGGTCGATCTGACAATGGTTTTATATTACTTTATATGCATCAATGCATTTACTATGTGGAATTGTGGATACATTTAATTACAAATACTATTATACACACGAATAAATAAGGTTGAACTACCAACTAATTGGTAATTAACCAAAAGATTTGTTCACCAGTACTTATGCACATGCAATTATTGTATCAATTTATACGTCATTGCTACATTCCAGTTATTCACTCGAACATGACTTATATCGCAATTTGCTTATTGTAGTGATGGAGCATTTATCTGCTTTTGCTAGTTATTTTTCTTTGTAAGAAAATCTATATATAATGTTGATTTTTATTTTAAGATTAGTAATTGGTATTAAAAATTAGAAATTGATTGAATAATTTCTGTAAATTAACTGGAGAATGAAGGAGATACTTGCTTACTTTTTTTCCAAAATTAATTTCCTTTTCTAATTCTATAGGTATTTTTTTTCCCAAAACAATACTCACTCTTTTAGGTTTTTTTCTTGTTGGACAAGTTATTGTTGTAGGGCTTTTCTTTAATTTTTCCTTTTTATTTGGATAATTTACGTAAAAGAATAAAGGGATTTGTTCCTACTACATAGATTTCTACACAAAAGTATCTATATTACTACATCAACATAGCTCATCTATTACAAGAACGAGGCTCTAGTCCGCTGAATGATTGAATTATCAAGCACAGAAGCTTCTTCCCGCTCCACATGTCTTTTGTACCGAGTTTTGATGTGATCTTCTCCTTTTCACAGTGGAAACGCAGAGAGATGAGAAAGAACACATTGCTGTTCGATTTCTTGAATTCTAAGGCAACTATCTTTTAGGATGTTAACGCAGAGTCGAGAAAATTCGTCCATTTTCTTTTTGTCAGCCTCAAATAGTAAGAAAACTATTTAAACAGTAAGAAAAAATATACATAAATGTTCATTTATTACATCTACATTAGCCTCTTAAGTCGTTCATTTGTCATGTTATATAGTGAAGGAAACGAAAAAAGGAATTTCCAAAATTCGAATTAATGGTCTGGCCATAAAAAACGATTTCATAAAAGCATTAAAAGCAAATAGACAATTACATGATTGTTGATAATGACTTTAAATAACACACAGCGACAGGAAAACAGAAACAATAAATTCAAGGAAGCTTCATCGCATCAAGAACAACAAGAAGCATAAACACAAGTGAAGCAAGAAAAGTGACGGCAACGGAAGCAGCAGCTTGGTGACAGAATTTCCCAAAAACGTTACAAACTTTCTTCCACATCACATGTTTGTTCCCTTGCATACCCATTAGCCCGATTGCTCCGGCCGCTCCGGTGCCGGAAAACAGCAAACCCACCATTACTAGATCTCCTACCAGAAGTGTCATTAACAAGCCTTTGCTTCTGCCTTTGCTAATCATCATAATCACTATCGAGATCGCTGTGTATCCACAAGCTATAGCGTTTGCCGAAATGTTGAACCTACAACAACATTTGTAATACTACATTATTGCTAATTCCTCAAATTTCATGCATGTCAAATTGTCAATCAGTTTAAAATACTTCTATGAATTAATTTGTCTACTTTTATATATTAAAAATTGTTTATATTGCTTGTCATGCCAGCTAGAACTGTTGTGCATTAAATTTTAAACTAAAAATAAGAGCTAGGAATGGTTAGAGAAAGACTGTGGACCAACATCGCTGTTGTAAAACAGTTTAAGTAGTTCGACATTTATGATAAGGCTAATTAACTACGTAATTTACTGTATACTAGTCGATATGCAGGTATGTGGGTGGATACATTTATGAATCACTAACTAAATGGTAATTATACAAAAACATTAGTTCAGCAGTACGAATAGTACTCCTTATATGCGCATCCAGATAATGTCTCCATTCTACCAAATTTATCCGTAATTGCTACATTCCAGATATGTACACAAATACGACTTTTATGTGCATAATTATGTACTGTTTTATATAGTGATGAACCATTTATCTGTCTTTGCTTTTTACTAGTTAAAATGTTGTAGCGGTGTAAACGCATTTTGTCCCGGTATTCACTTTTGTGATTTCGAGGAAAACACTTAACTATTTTGTTAAGTTTTTTAATTTAAACGCATAATTTAACGTTTTAACATGAAAACAGCCCTTTGTTCACAAAAAAAAAAAAAAAAACTGGTGATAAATCCGAATTGGTGAGATAGAACTATATCGCATGTTCTACATGAAGAATTCGTAAATTCCAATTAACTGCGACAAAAGTCCAAGATACAAAAACAAAAAACTGGAAAAGACGTTTTATATTTTTTTAAATGCGTTTTTTTTTACACATTTCTCATTGCATAAAAAGAAAGAAATATATATATATATATAAAAAAAAAACGATGTATATAATTTAACAACGTGATTTTTCTAATACAGTATCTCTTTTTATATTAAGCACATGCAAAAATTGCGCTTGTAACAATCAAGGAAAGGTCGTATAATTGTGTGACACGCTCACTTCTCACTCCTTTTTTTTTTACTTTTAATTTACTATTTTGGTTTCTCATCATATGTATGAGGAAGAAGAAAGAAAGAGAGAGGGCTTACACAAAGGCAGACAAGTCAGTGGATTTGGCAGTGGTAGAGACATTAAGAGGAGGCAAAGTTGGAATAAGCTTAATAGGCACAATCTTGGTCTGTTTTGCGACGCCAAGTACTGTTGCAGCTACCATTGTTAGAACCAACGCTAACACTCTCATCGATAGCTCAACTCCTTTTCTCGAACCACTCTGTTTCTTTCCCTTTTCCATCTCCATCCCGTTCAGATTGTTCTTGCGTTCGTTTTCCATTTCCTCTCACTTCTTGATATAAAAGGAGGTGAGAGAGAGAGAGAGAGAGAGAGAGAGAGAGAGAGGACTAATAAATGATGGTACTTTCCGAACTTCTCATATATGCTCTCGAGGTGAGTAGAGAGACGTGTATTATATACCATTTTGAGTACCCTTACTTAACACATACATCAAGTGTGGATAGTGATTATAATGTCTACGTGGCTTTGAGTTTATGTGGCGTGATAGAAATTCTTAGCTTACGAAAGAAAAGTATATGTGGATATGCAAGGGAAAATGAAGTGTGAATACATTGTGTAAACGACAAAAAGTGTCAATACGTTAACAAAGAAAGTTGGGAAGACTTTCCTCAAAAAAAAAAAAAAAAGAAAGTTGGGAAGACAACAAATTTGTGGAGGTTTTTTGACTAGTTGTGTTCATTGTAAGTGTCAGATAAGTTAACTCTGGTATGTACAAACTATTATTCGAAGTGCATCCAAATGAATTTGAGTCTGGTTTCAGTAGTTTGGATATGCAAAAATCATTAAACAAAATATAGTCCCTATCTTTCAATTAGATTGGACATATTACTTTTTTGATAGTATTTTGGGCATTTTAAAATAATGCCTGATAATTTGAGTAAGTCTTCTTCTTCAATTTGATGTGTCTTTGATTCCTCTTGAAGTATACGCCTTTTTTATTCAATTTATCCCCAAACACATAAACACACACGCTAATGAAAAAGATACAAAAAACTATCTAAAATGCATTAATATTAGAATTTAATAATCATTAGAACTATAAATGTGATAACTGACAATAAACCACATAAATCTAGACACAAAAGAATGAGAATCAAAAAGATTTTTTTTTTTTTTATAATATAGTTAATTTCAAAGTTACGGTGTTAGTTTGTTGATTTTAGTCTATTTCATAGCTATTCGGCTAATTATGTCAATATTCAGTTCCATTACTTAAATCAAATTTAGTTCACAAGAAATGGCTAGATCAAAACTATATTTCTGTTAAGAAAAAATTGGTAGTTAAAGTTGGGAGGGGCATTAAAGTTTATTTACTCGGCGGATTTCGACACTTATTGCAATTCTGGCAGTTGGCGAGTGTAGACACTGACAGCTCGATCGTCTTGTGAAATTAGAATATATAAATAAAAATTTGTGGAGATAATCAATTTAAACAGAAAATAATAGTTATATATTAGATCAACGTGAGAACTCAGAACCAAGTTTTCATACACCATACGATTATATGCATACAGCGAGACGTATACGTTAGTACTGTCATACGGTGACACGTACTAATTTATACAAAAGTTGTAATAATTGCTAGTAGATGTTTTCCAACATGTCTTCATACTACAATTTTCTCGGGGATTATGTTTGGAATCAACCCCTAACGAAAATTAGCTGTGTAATGGCCTATAAATTGGGGCGTTTGGGACCATCTATTAATTAATGGTTAAATTGACTAATCATTGTCATCTTCGTCGTTAAGAGAACATATATCAAGCTGTCGTTTTAGGTGAAAATTCATGATAAAATCTCTGGGTAATTATTAAAAATAATATACTAAAACGATAAAAGCCCTTAATAGAGTGGTTCCAACTGATGTCCTAAAAAATGTTAACAATATATATATATATATATATATATATATATATAACATATTTCAAAATGGCATCAATTTAACAACAACAAACAAAAATTTCACGTGCATGAGATGCAATGCAACTACCATATTAATTCGATTTTAGAATAAGATTCTATAGTATCCATCGAAGATCGTCTGAAAGAACTTTGGAAGTCAAAGGCCCATAATAAGGTTTGTGATTTTGTCCAGTTTCGCCGTAGAGTAGAATAGTATTCGGATTTTGTCAAGTATTTATACTGATCAAAGTTTTTATACAACTCCCAAGGCCACTTGGTAGCAAAAACTACGCCAGAATATATGGTCATATTTCGGATTTCTATGTTCACATTGTGACTTAAATGAAATTTTAAGATGTAAACTCCAATGCAGTGTTATGCTTCCAATAATATATTAACATCAACTGATACAAAGTAACAAAACAATATTATAAAACAATAACAAATGGATTAAAAAGTTCATATCTTCGTAGATATAAAAAAATATGAATGGTGTGTGTTAGTATTTGGACAGCATTTGAGGATATTTTATAAGTAGTTTCGAAGATTGTTCTTTTACTATGCGAATTTTTGTTCTCTTCCAACTAATGCATCGGCCACCAAAGAAAAGTTATGTCGTTGTAAATGTTAATGGTGAAAACTTCTTTACCGGATCGACTACAACTCGTACAAACACAAACTATTTGTCACCATTAATTACACTTTCAGGTAAATTTATTACTATAATTTTTTTCCCTTGACTAATTGCTTGAGACAAACGTATCACGATAATATATTGGGACAGCCATGCAAAAACTATACGAGAAGAAGAAAAGAGGTTGTGTACCTGTTTCCATCACGTATTCGACGTTCTTTTTCTATGTAATTTTAATGAAAGCCAACATTTCGGATTTCTATCTTTCTTTGATACTATAACAAATTGCTTCGTTGTCTTTATTTGCTTTATGAGTTGTCAAATCTGTTCCCAACAAGTTGGGATACTTTAATAGCATGTCCATCTACAGTGGCGAAGGTATAAATAATTTTTAGGTCATATATAAAACAGAAATTGGCATGATCATGGGTGCATTTGGACAATTGGACATAAATTTATGGGGTCAAACACTAACTTTAACCAAATATTTTCTCAAATTCAATCAGAATTACGCTTAAAATAATATAAACATAAATTTATTAGGGGTCATATATATGACTTCCTTAAGCTTGCTTAAAAATAATATAAACATAAATTTAAAATTTAAAGACATGTATTTAAATAAGATGTATAATATTTTACAGTTGTGCATGGTTGAATATTATCTATTTTATAGTCACTAATTAATAAAACGGTTCGTTTCAATGGTTCATCTAGTTGATATAACTTGGACATATATCAATCAAATCAATAGAAGGAAAGAAATGGTCGACTACGAAATACAAAACATAATTAAAAGATGTTCAAAGATTCACTAATAAAAAAACATCGGTTTACCAATAAATTAATCACACAATTATACATTAAAATCAAAGAAAACAATACAACACTATAAGCACTAAAAACACATTTAACTTCGACAAATACCAAAGAAAAAAATTACAGAACGAGACAAATATGAACTGACTGAAGAGATCATAAACAAAGAAGAAGCTAGAGAGTGAATCAACGGATTCTCTTGTAGAGGGAGAGAACAGAGATGATAGAGAGGAGGAGGAGGATGACCGAAGCCACCAATGAGACGGCGATAGCGCCACCGACGTGACGGCAAAACTTGTCGTACATATGACAGATTTTGCCCCATCTCACGTCTTTGTTTCCTTTAAGACCAATGTAAGCTACTCCACCTCCGGCTCCGGTCGCTGAGGCCACTATCCCCAACATCACCTACCAAGACGTGTCGTTTTTATTACTTAGTTTAGAAACGAAACATTATGTAAATTGCTATTGTTAAAAAAACATAAAGTGATGTTTAGGGATTTTTGAAGTTATAGGAAAAAGTAGTCCACGTACGTTAAATTTTTGTTTGTTTTATAACGCGATTTGATTTCTGCATGGGTTTAATAATTAATTTGTAACAGTTAAATATTGTATAGAAAAGGAATTACCGCATCCATAATGGCAAGTTTTAACAAGAGAATCGCAGAGGAAAAGGCAGGCTTCTTGAAAGCAAATACGGTGGCAAGTGTTGTTAGGATGCTGTAAAAGCAAGCCACCGATAATGCTACCACAAAGTATCTGCGTATTAACAAAAAGAAAATTGATTTATCAAAAATAAAAGAACTATACAATATTAATAAATAAATCCTATAATGTGAAGTGCTTTTACTATCATGATTGGACATTTAATATTTGAGCACTTTTTGGCTTTCTTCGTTCAAGAACTTTGGGCCAACTTATTTTTGACTTTCCGAAATATAATTCCAACTACTCCCCCACACGCAAAGTTATCTATAGCAAAAAATACTTCATATAAATAATATCGCCATTTGCATATACATTTGTTAACGTTTCCATATATGACCAATCCTTTTGGTTTTTAGATTTGTTATATGGAGAAAAATCAAAATCTTTTCCATATATGACCACCAGTGTTGTCATGGTATTACACCATCCAAATTCAACACCATGCTTTAAAAAATAAAAACACCTCTATTCCAAATTTACTTTTGGACCTTGCCATGTTACGACGTTACTTCTACAAAAGAGCACAACAACCCATAATTTCTCTAAAATATTATTTGTACTTAATTTGACTATGAGATATCCAAAAACACATATAATTCTCCATCCATTACTCAGATTTATTAAGATATTAATCAAACAATTTGGACGTTTTTAAAAATAGTAGTATACATTGACATAGATAGGGAACAAATAATTAATGAATTATTAATATGAACTTACATAAAAGCAGGTGAGCCCGAGAACTTAGCATCAGGAATACGAATGGGAACTCCAGGGATAGTTTTGCTTTGTTTACTCGTAACCATAACCAAAATTGATGTCAAAGTGGCTGCAAACAGAACTAATCTCAGCACAACTTGAGTCATCCAACAACTCTTTGTCGTGGTGGAGCTTCCTGCAGGCACGGTCGATTTCTCCGTGTCCACTGTCGATTTGATTTCATCAGAACCCATCGTTGGCTAAATCTTTGAATCTCTTAGAGAAGGTGATGGTGAGTCTTGTGTTATGGGGGAGGTGGTGGTATTTCTTCGGTACGTCAAGAGGGGACTTTATATTGTGTGTGTTTCGAAGAAGCAAAACATATTTGAATTGTTATTAATCAATGTTATAATAAAGTTAACTATTATTATAATATATACGGTCGTGGGATTAATATGGTGAGTGTTTCGGACACGCCATATATGTTTGAAAATCGTAAGAGTCAATATATGTTCATATATATCCGTAATGATTCTGGCGTTCTCATCTTTTATTGGTCTCAACTCTTATGGTATTTGATTATGTGAAACTTTGCTACATTACATGTTGTGTATATTTGACAAAAAGAGAAAAGGGACCAGTCGTAACCTATATACGATAAACAGGAGTTGACATTAGTATATCATTTCCTAGAAAGGTTATTTTGTATAGAGTATTCACAAGTTCTACGTTTTCGTACGTATTTTCTAGGCTTTTATCCTATGTATTGTTTATTTTGGAATTCCGAGTGTAAACCAAGACTCTCAGCTTCTCGAACTAGAACCAAGATATGTTGATTAGTCTCTTCTCCATTGGCGATGCTCGAATCCGAGACTTTCCTGATTATTCGACTCTGAATGATCATATAGTACATCAGTTGAGCTATCAACGTTGCGTAGAGCTTTTACTATTAATTGCCTATGTATTATTTTTATTTTTTTGGTATTGTAGTCGTATATGAGATTTATATTAAGGTAAATGGTCAAACAAAATGAAAAGATACGTAGGCCAGCTTTTGAATTTTAAATACTATATTCTCACCCTGTCATCCAGATTTTTCGATATAAAGAAACTAATTTGACCTTGAACTTTCGAGGTAGTGCGTTCTTCATTGTCATAAGTATGCAAAAAAAAAAAAAAAAAAACAAGATTGAGGCATAGCTTATGGGTTAATGGGTTTCGATAGTTTTGACGGCTAATTACGTTTAGTATTTGATGTAAACATTAAGAAAATATTTTAATCAGTCTAAGCAAACTCGTTTTCTTCAAATTGTGTGTGAATAAGCAATTCTACTGTTACGACCTTGTCATGAGGATAATCACAAAAGGCTTCCAAAACATATCTTAGTCCATACTTCATACTTGTTCTGGATAAACGTTATTGAATAAATAAAAAAGACCATGTTCATAAATTTCCTTAGTTTTGAAATTCAAAAATATCAAACATCTATCCGTTTAGTTTTTTTAATATTATAGTTACCAAAATGACAACCTATTTTAAACTTCGGTTGGACGAATTTAAAACTTCGAACGTCTGGGTCTCATTGTTGATGATTCGTTACACATATCTATAGGTTAAACGATTCTATAATCGAATAAGCGAGCCTTCAATAATCAATGAGCACTTGTATGCATGAAATACAAAATGATAACTAAAAGATACGCAAGGCCATTATTATCTTATTTTCTAATTGGGGGGAAACGAACGTTAACGAAGAAAATATAATAAAATAGTTAAGGCAAGCTTTCTTGAACTCTTGATAAATCGAAAATCTTCTTCTATTCCAATCTCTAATATATTAAAAAAGAAAACATTTTGAAAATAACCTTTGTGTCATATGTTATTAACAAAAATGCTATGCTGATGTGTCATCATTAGGAAGCTTCTCATGCTACTTATGAAATAAGGTTAAGTTTATTAGAATAATTACATACAATGTCATTCATATACTATGGTTAGAAAATCAAATATGTCTTCATAAATTAAAGATAAATTAAAAACAGTTATTTTCTTTCCTTAATTGATCGTGACGAAAATTAGTAAATAAGGAAAATACTCAATTCAATTAAATCATATTAATTATTTTTAAAATCATTTTATTTCTCCTATCATCTTTGTTTAACTTTATTTTAAAATAATTTTTTGAATCATCTATATAAAATTAGAATAAAAAATCTACATTTTTTTCTGTATATGATATAATGTGAATAAGTTATGATAAAATAAATCAATAAAATTGTTAAAATAAAGATTGAATATGTTGTTAATGGTTCAAAAATCAGTTATAAAAAGATGTACACTTTGTGCAACTATTTGAGTAGGAATCCTCTTTTTGTAGCCATCAAAATGTAAATTTTTTTCTTTATTCGATTTAATATGATTTTCATTTAAATTGTATAATTAGATAGAATAAATAATTATTAATTTTGATCATAATTGTAATATATTTTAACTTATATAATAAGTTAAATTCTAAATATTTATATCAAAATTTTAAAATATTATAAGTTTTATTTGAAAATATATTATTTAACTTGATAAATATTTTTAAATATTAATATGATAATATATTCTAATAATAATTCTATCAAGAGTCCTTAAAAATAGTACAAGATCTATAAATATAATTTTTAATTTTAATAACTAATTAATAATATAAAACTAAAGAAGTATATTTTTTTGTATGTATTGAATATTTTAAATAAAATTTCAATGCTTTTACGAAGCATTTTTTCGTGGATTAATCTATTAAAAATCTAAAACATGAAAAATATCTTATATAAAATATATATGTCAAATTAAATATATTAGTCCATATTAACATCTCTAAAAATATAAGTGCATACATTTACATAAAAAAATCTTATAATTAGCCAATATGTTTGCAACCGTGAATGTGTATACTGTTTTAGTGATACCAACCGTGAATGTCACAACTATCAAATTAAAAAAAATATATAAATTCAGAAATTATCACACCGCGCAGGACGCGGGTCAAACCCTAGTTGTAAGTGTAAATGATAAGGCAATGATCACGACAGCGAAGATAATTAATTTATCTTGACCCAAATTTGTGGAAGTCTTTGTCCTCCAAAAGATTCCAGAAAGTCTAAGCTTATGTGCTTCTTTCTATACACGTTATCTATTTTCAAGTGTTCATATCTATATCTACTGCGATTACATTCATATTGCAACATCTGAAAGCAGCAGCTGCCAGCCGCAAATAAAAAACAACGTTTACCTTCTTGAAAAGTGTCTAAAAATGATATTCTTACAAGTTCACATATCTATTCATAAGAAATTATATCGGATTTATTGGATTAGTATACAATACATAAATGCTTTTTAGCATATCTCTACAAACGTCTAGATTAATTACATAATATAATCATAAGGAATATCCATGTAATTTTTAAACACCGCTTTAATATGGTTTGCGATACTTATGGTCATGGTTATGCTCTTTTGGTGCGGTTTTGTTTATCAATGATGGTTTTAATAATTTCTCTCTCAATGGTTGTCTTAATAATTGTTTTGTTCCAAATTGTGACTTAATTTTATCCCAAAAGATTGTGAAGCCAATTAGATCATTGTAGCAAAAGTAAAAACATAATGGTCAAGATAACTTTTCTAAACCAAAAAAAAATAAGTAAAAACCAAAAATTAGAGCCAATATATTGTTTAATGTTCCAGCAAATGTCCTCTTAACTTCTAAGTTCTATAACTAATAAACAAAAAAGATTCATAGTGTTTAGTCTTCTTCGGCGAAGGGTGCATCGTCTTGATCAGCATCACCATCTCCAAAGTCGTTATCATTATCTCCACCGTAATTCGCCACCGGAACAGCTTCGTCTTCATATCCCGGTCCATCAGGAATATCCATGTCCATCTCCGTCACTCTCATTGTCTCCAGATTCTCATCGCTGAAGAAGTTCTTCAATGGCTTTGACACCTACCAAAAACACCAAAAAATTAACAACCTCTTCTTTATTGAGCCTAATCTATTGCAGAAAAAAGATTCATATACTTTCAACACACACAGAAGGAAAGTAAAAAGTTTTCACCTTGAATAATCTGTTTCTCTTCTCAGCACTCTCTACAAGGTTTTTCCAGAGCGGATCACTCTTCAACGTTTCAGCTGAACCAACAACCTGATAAGCAAGTTTCAATGGAGAGTGAATCAGAGAAAGATGGTATACATATGCAGAAAAGCCGGAGAAGAGTCTCTATGTATTTCTTGACTTTTTTCTTACCAATACAGAAGACTTAGCTCGTGTAATCCCAACATTCATACGCCGAGAATTAGAGAGAAAACCAATACTTCCTGTATCGTTAGCTCTGACGCATGAGAATATTGCAACATCTTTCTCCCTTCCCTATTCATCAAGATGAGGAAAAAGAAAAAGAAAGATTACGATTTGAGTTCTGAGAATGCATTCTAGTTTTGTCTATGAGCACATTTGATGTTTAAACGTGAGAAAGAGAGTAGAAATATCGAACCTGGAACCCATCAACAGTGTTGATATCAACAACTTTCTCTGCCTCGGCACCAAACATCTCCTTAAACCGATCTTTGAAAGTTTTGACTTGGTAGTTATACGGCGATATGATAGCTAGCTGAGAGCTTGACTTGAGCTCAGGGTACGTGGTCACGAGCTTGTGGTAGATGAGAAGAACAAATTCCACCTCGTCTAGGTTCACTCGAGAACCAGTTGCTCCAGGATGTTGAGACTCTTTCCCTTCGTGTATATCGAAAAAGCAAAACGGACCGAAGCAACGGTATTTATGCCAGTGACGAGTCGTCTGGGATTCAATGTTAGCTCCATCTTCCAGTGCCTCTTCGTAGAATGCCTTTGACGGAAAGCTTCTTATCTAATTTTTTTTTCAGACAAACGAAAAAGGGTAAGAATTTAAGCTAACAAGAAGCTTTGACTAGTCAAGAACCTATCTTAAGTTCTTACCTCTGGATGCATCCGGTACTGGGTCTTCAACATATTAACCGGATAGCCAGCCTTTTGAAATCTCTCGAACATGCTTGTACCGTAGCTACATTGAAGAAAGGAAAGACATCAATCCAATAGTGTCAATACAACATACGCGAGAGAAATATAAACAGATAAAGGTTTGGAGGCAGTGACTGGTTTAAAGCACTTACCCAGAATCCTGAGCAACAGTTGAGATTACAGTAGCTGGGAGTTGTTTTGGATCTCCTACCTGATAAAAGATAGATATGTAATTAGGAATCCAAAGCTAATGAAGTTTCCTTTAACTGAATCATTAGCTCATAAACTAATAAGGGAAGGATAATTCTATTGAATGTTACCAGAAACACTTGTTTGCACCTAGTGGCCAAGGGGATAAGAGTTGCTGGTTCAACCTGGACAAGTACACAAGGATAAAATTTTCGTTAGCAATGAACTACGAGGAGCATAGAAGCTTCTGACGCAAGAACATTAGTCCACAATGCATATTAGCAGGGGCTTACAGCTTGTGCAGCTTCATCTATTATAACGACATCGAAACCACGGTTTGATTTAGCAAGAAGTGCAGAGCCACTGAAACTAAGGGTAGCGAACACCTGAAAGTGCAAAGAAACAGCAGAGAATATTCAGGGAGAGAAAAACGAAACGCTTCAAATTACACTGACAAGAAAGCAGATTCTCCTTACAATCGCAGCCTCGTCCAAAATTGCAGTGCGGATACTATCTACATCAGTTCCTGTGGTTCCTTGTTTTGGTTTATCAATGGCTGAGCCACGCTTTTGTGCCACCTGCAAAAGAGTGTTTAATCTTATAAATTACTGGATAATTTTTGAACGAAATCCAAACTAATTTTAATCGTCTAGAGTGACCATATATGGTCTTGAAGAATACAGTTATCCAAGGACAAGATACATACAAGGTGATCCAGCGATACTGACATGACGGAGTGATGTGCCTTGAGACCAATTCGTACTATTTTAGGAGTGTATGTCTGTGCGTTTTCGTCACGAAGACCTGAAAGTGCAGAAACCATAACATATTAAGACATTTGCCTACTTTCAAAGAACGAAACAATCTATGGAATCTTATCCACCACATACCTGTAGTTAGAAGCCGCAACACAATCTCATCGAGTGCAGAGTTTGATGGAGCACAGACTAGCACACGTATTCTATACTTTCGACTTGCATTGACCACCTCCGGTTTCTGACCATAGAAGAGAATAATATATAAGTAGGGCTATTACAATGTGTCTCAGAATAAAATCTCCAGACTCACCATATCATTTCCTGAGGTTGGAAAAAAACCATCGTCACCATCTTCAGGCATAATAGCATCTCGGGGGTTGACACCAAAAATCCAAGGAGAAGCTCGTTCCCAGTGATTGTATCTTCAAACAGAAGAAACACTGAGATAAGTTGTATGGTAATATTTCACTACTCTAAAATCTAATAATCTATAACTAATTTTCCCATTGAGTTGCAAAATTTTCAAATAAAACACACAGGCCTAGGTGTGAGAGCAATGATTGTAGAAATATTTAAAAGATCTTAAATGGGAGTAAAACCATACTTCTCATCGATGGTCATCTGAATTCCACGCTTCACTGCATGCTCTCTACCCCTATTATGGCCAAGATTGAGAAGCATAAGAAAGCATTCTTTTCATATCAGAAAAGGACATAGTTAGGTGAGCATCAAGAGGATATCATACTTAGACTGGACTCTTGCCGGAGTAGCATGCATAATGGCACCAAGAATGCTAAGAATCGTCTGAGTTTTCCCAGTGCCTGGAGGACCCTAAATAAGGACAGAGTCATTAGTATTCGAATCAAAACCATCTACTTGTCGATGCAATTTGAAAAAGCTAAGTAAACAAGTTAAATGAAGAAGTCAACCTGTATTAAGACGAAGGATTTTCTTGATAGACCAACCTGCAAAATAAGAGCCCAAATCTGTGTTAAAGCCTCAAAGCAAAACTGCAAAAGTCTCTAAGAAAGGAAACTACAAAGCCGGACTTACATCAATTGCCTCTTTTTGGGATTTGTTAAGATTTTCGTTAAAGTATTCATGCAGAGGTCTGGATATGATCCATTCTTCATCTCCAAAGCCACACGATTTTTCTGCTGCATTAAAGATTAAATCCTTGAAAGGGAGCGAACTGACTGATCGTAGTGCTATATATTCCCGAATAATGGTTGATAGACCACATAACTGCAAAACAAACATATCACACCATGAAAGGATATGTAAGATGTCAACAGCAATCACTTAAGTTTACGCAATAGTCGAACAAAAACCACATTAAACAACAACTGACCTTTAAACTGAATACCCTTTTGTCTACAGGATTAGCAGACGATGTAATAAGAGAACGCATGTTTGAGAGAGCTTGGATGAATGATTTTGTTCTAGAGGATTTAGTATTTTTGGTTATCTGCACCGCCTCTTCAGCTAAATACATCCGAAGACGAAGAAGATTGCTTTGACGATTTTCCACTACAGCAAACCCATAAGATGAAGGAAAAGAACTCCCTTTAACCTGCAAAAGTTAACCTCAAAGTGAATCCAACATTCATCAATAACTGTTATATGAGAGAGTAGAAAATCAGAAAAACATTATGTGTACCTCTTCTTTGGATAGCAATAGAAGATCATTTTGGGCAAGATATTCGTCCTCGTCATGTTCGTAAGTGACTAGCAGAATGTGAAACCCTTCGGCCTCGTTGCACTCCATTACCAATCTCATTTTACACACCAATTCTAAGAGGAAAAATGACAGAAAAAGTCAGTTCCACAACCAGAACCAAATTTGTTAACAAACTACTTTTATAAACACAACATCTTATTAAAACAATAAGCCGATTAGGTACATGTACATAAGATTTCTGGGTCTAACCTTCTTCACCATCTCGATTCTGCAGAATCTGAGCTTTAACTTCCTCCAAGAGCAGTGGTTCAAAAGTCTCGAAATAATCATCAACGTCTTTATAAGTATTCTTTACAACATTCAACTTCCCTTTAGTATCCTTTCTGTTTTCCCTCTGTACAAATGGATTAGATAAACAAATTTCACATTCGCCTCACGTTTAGAACACAAAAAGAAAGAGTTCGTATGATCAGGAACTGACCCCATTCTCCTTTGTAAGCTGTTTATAGTCCCATCCCAAAATAATGCTATAGAAACGAGCAACAGCTGAGGCTTCTTCTTCTTGAAGCTTGCCCTTATCAATGGCCATTACTAACTAATCTCTCTCTCTCTCTCTCAACTCAAATCTACCGCCAGGTTCTGTCAAGATAAAAAAACGAAAGTGGGAATGAAATTACTTGAGAAGATAGTTTTGATTTTTATGCAATGAAAGCTCAAGAATAGGAACTAAACTACGTTCTACAGCTAACAAGAAATTGAGAAGCATCAAAACTGTGACTCTATGAGCTATGGAATTCTAAAAAAGAAAAGTTGTGATTTTGACAAGCAGAGCCAGATTATTTACATGACAATCATGACAAGAAAAAAACCCCAAATAGGGATTGTACGAGATGAAAGAGACGAAAACATCAAATTTGATCATACCCAGATACCAAAGTCACTAAACGAAGACAATTACATAGCAGAAGAGCTAATCAAACAGAGCTATTTGAGAGCTAAAAGGGAAGAAAAGAGTGAACATTCACATACTTTGATTAGTGGAGTGTTTCGTGAAGACGAATTGAGTACTTTTGATCCAAAATCGTCGTCGTTGAGTACTTACTTACAGAGGATTATTTGAGTTGAAGAGAGTTTGAGCCTTAGAGGTAATCTAGAATCAGAAACAAATCGAAAAATCGGAACTTAGTACAGCCAACGAAGGACTAATAACATCCAAACTAAACCCTCGCCGACGTCGGAATCGTGATTGTTGCCGGAAAATTTCTTTAAAAAATCGTGCGTCTGCTCTCAACTCTCTCAATCAAAAACCTCGCGTCTGCTCAAGGGAAAAAACAAAAAAAAAAAAAAATTGTCCAAAACGCGTAAACGGCGTCGTTTGTAATCAACATAAACCCTATTGGAGAATCCAATTCAACTTGTATCAAACAAACCGATTAGTTCGATTTAAGAATTTCGGTTTGGGTTCGGGAATTTTGCCAGGCTCATCCAGAATCAGCCAAAGATCCAGCCCTAAATTCATTTCTCTCAAGTTTTGTGTCGATGTCTTCCTTGACGAGCGAATTCGCCGGTAAGATCCGTCGTTTTCAGTAATAGTAGTCTACTCTGATTCTGTCATAGTAAACATAATTGCTCAAGCGTATATACGATCTGGAAGTTTTGCAATTGTTTCTTCTTCTTCTTCTTCTTCTTCCTGATTCTTAATTGCTCTTCTCAGAGGCTGAGACGGGGGTGTTCTGGGACATTGTTGGTTGCCCAGTCCCTGATGAACTCTCTGTCGAATCGGTTTGCGAGAAGATCAAATCAGCTCTCGCGGATGATGGCTACGGTGGAAAAGTGTCGATCCAAGCTTACTGCGACACGGAAGAGAGCAAAGCGGCGGTGGTGTCAGCGTTTGAGTCCTCCGGAATCGACCTCGTATGCGCAGGTTGTTGTATACTCTTCACTCTTTTCTCTTACTCTTTCTCTTTCTCAATCTCATCTCCGTTGATTTATGTTTTTTTCTTCAGGAGTTGGACTCTCAAGGCGTCTTAGGATGCTGCAGGAGCTCGCCAGCTTTGCAGTACACCACGAACCATCAAATCTCATGTTAATCTCAAAAAACGTGTCATCAGATTCGCTCTGCGTGCTTGGCTCTCTGTGAAAGACGCGCATCGCAACCTTCTCTTAGCTCAGATCGATGACGTAACAGGAGAGGAGCTTTCTGGTTGCATAAGCTCGATTTGGTACTGGAAACACCTATCAAATGGAGGAAAGCCTGCCTTCCAAATCTCACACAAGAGAGCTCACTTAGCCTTTCCGGAATATTCCTTAATGGCTCTTTTGCTTAAAACATTAGCTTTCATCTCTTGATCTCTCATCTCTCTTTGGAATATATTTCACCAGCCAAGTCCCTTTATTTTCAAACTTTGTATCAAACAAACCAATTAGTTTACATATAAAAGTGCAACAAATCTCCATCGAAAACGGTTTAGTAGTTCCTGATGGTGCTACTGGTGCAAGTAGCGTAAGCAAGATCAGCTGTTGATACACACACACGCAAAACCTCGTGAACAACTCCTCGTTGAAGCACGCGCAGTACCGTTTCTTCTTTCCCATTGACAACATCGGCTAAAGACACCTGACGCGACACGATCTCGTCTCTCATTCTCGTCCCGTGTGACCATCTTCCCAACGTCAACCATTTCACCCAAACCACCTGCTCTGAGACTCCACATCTCCTCATCGCATCCAAGATTTGCTCTCGCTGTGGTTTCAAGTGTTGTATGCAGTAGAGGAGTCCAATGAGGTTGAGGAGCACACTCAAGTTTGGTTTGAAGAGAAATAACTCCACGTCTTGGAACCCTAAACTCGTCGAGCTCATTGTTTCGATCGCGTGTTGATACTCAAAGGCCTCTAGAGACAACGTAGCAGGCCACTCGATCACAAATTTTATCACCTCGGATGCTCTGGATCCCATTTCCTGGTGCTGCATCATGTAATATCTTCTCCATTCCTACAAAATGTTTGTAACATTAACCTCATCACTTAAACGAAATTGATCTTTACACTTCAGCAACCATCTAATGACTAAACTTGCAGCATAACTCAATCACAAGCATCCATTTATCCAAAGTCTCAATTCAACAACAAAGAAAATCACCATCAAGAATTAAAAAAATGACCAAAATCTAAAACAACTGGAATAAATTGAATTTGAAAGAAACAAGAAACTATGGTAAGGTCTCAGACTTTCTTCTACCTGGGAATTGTCATCTGTTTCTGGGGTTTGTACTGGAGGAAACTGAGTATTGTCTGCATCAAATGTGGCCAATAAGGGCCATCTTTTTTTAAACAGAGGTTCCCATAAGATGTCAGAAGCACATAGCTCTCTCCAAAACCTAGAACAGCTACTGAGTGTGCAAAGATCGATCACCTATCAACCAAATAACCAATCAAACAACACAATTTTCAAAGAATTAGCAAAATCTAACAAGTAGAAAAGAAAAAAGAAAAAAAAAAAACAGAATTTAACAGAACTACAAAATTAAACCTGAAGAGAAGAGCCGATCTTCAAGATTATGTCGTGGGGGAGAGAGCTACAAGAAATTTGAATCGAACTCATAATTGTTATCCAATTCGGAAATTCTTTGATTTCTGTAGATGTTGGGAAAGCACAAGTTATCAAGATGACCATTTACGATGTGAATGAGATGATGATGAAATGACGACTCACCACATCAAAAAAATAACCTTTCTTGATGTTGACTCAAACAACAAAAAGAGACAAAATAACCGAACAGACAGAAAGTGTCAATTTTTCGTTGGCTTCTTTTTTTGTAGCAACCATGAACTTCGAAGATAGCTTTTGCCCCGATCATATTCATGTGTCGAATCTCATAAAATTAATATTTTTCCAGAGGATCTCCAAGAGAAGCTCTTCTTTGACACATCCAGAACGGTTTCTGATATTATGGAGGGAAGCTCCTTAACGAAATATAAACAGAGAATGTTGGTGGGAATGTTGGTGCCCATTACTTTGTTCAATGTGGAGTTGAAAAAAGTTAAGGGAAAAAAAAAATATAGCAAAATAATAGATGGGGCATTCCGAGAATTGAACTCGGGACCTCTCGCACCCTAAGCGAGAATCATACCACTAGACCAAATGCCCAATCTTGTCTAAGCTTAATTTATAGCACATAATTCTATTAACTTAAACTGTACAATCAGGTTTACATTTGGTACAAAATTATAACCTTATTTTTCTTCATCTTTTGATCTTATCATTTTTAAAAAAAAAATATTGTATTTATTAGATACTAACTATAAACCTCATAGCATAAAAACACATTTTCAATCATTATTATTTACTTACAACTAATTCTGAATTAACTGGCCATTTTATACCAGAATTTGAAGGTGTTGTTACTGTTGTACTTGTACACATTGTAGACCTAGTTTTACACATGTTCAATACTTTAGAGAATTTCAGATGTGTTTACATTCTACATATTATCTATGAAATGAAAAATTTAAAAAATAAATAATATGTTGTTGAATGAAGAACTACAGCATTTTTGCCAAAGAAAAACATTTAAAATCACTTTAACTAAATATATTTTCTAAATGAAAGATAATTTGGAAAACTACTGAGATTTTCACTTGAAAATATTAATTAGAAAGTAGATATAATAGGAAAAATTCCTTAAATTTATAATTTTGTTTTTTTTTGGTCAAATCTTAATTTATAATAAATAATTACAAAATTCTGATATATAAAATATAAAGATAAGAAATTAAGTACATCTTACTTATTAAATTTTTTAAGATATGTATTGAACAAAACAAAAATCAATGTGAAAATGTCGTCTATATAAGTCATATATTTTAATAGTTTGATTGATGACTTAAAGTGTTAGGTTTCATAAGATTTTACCGTGAGAAGATTCTTAAAGCTAGTATTTCTAATTTGGAATTCGAGCGTGATGACTTGCTGGTGTTCAAAGCAGTCACGAAGAAGCATTTTTGACAAGTATAGAGTGTTTTATATCTCAACATATATATATATATATATATATATATCATTTGAATAAGAATTTTATATGTTATTATGCTGATACATATTCTTCGCTTCCGAAAACTTGTCTAGTGTTATTGCTGATGCCGAGTTTAAGGTCAGGATCGATTCTGAAACATGCGCAAAAACAATCAGAGAAGTCGTTTGCAATTTGGAAGGCAAGAAAATAAGATATTTTATCCACAAAAATATACTCCCTCCGTTTCAAATTAGTTGTCGTTTTGGCAAAATGTATCTGCAAATATTTGGACGTATCTGGACGTGTTTTGCATTACAGATACGTCCAGATATTTGCAGATACATTTTGCAAAAACGACAACTAATTTGAAACGGAGGGAGTATCATTTAACGGCAACATAGTATTTATGTAGTAATTGTTTTTCAATGAAATGTTATTATTAGGAGTTCAAGCATGTATAACAGATGTGGATGCTGAAAATGTTGTGGTTGTTGGTAACTTTAATTTGGAGAAGGTGTTAAAAAATCTTAAGAAAAGAACCGGTAAAAGAGCAGAAATTTTGAGAAATCTGATATAGTTCAGAAGAAGGAAGATGGTGAACCTCATATAGTCCAAAAAGAAGAGAATCTCCAAATAAAGGGAAATGATGATAAACCTGAAACAAGGTAGATCAATTTTATTGGTTATTTATAAAATATTACATGTGTTTTAATTCTTCTTTGGTATTTTGTAGTGCCATTGAAGAATCTGAAATAGCTGCAGAGAATGATAAAGAACTTGAGAGATGTATGCCGAAGACCAACCAAATAGTGATGTGGAAAAAGAGATGGACAAATATATATATATATACTAGGAGGTGATCGCGCTTCGCGCGGGAATTTATATTATTGTGTTAATTTTATTGTTTTTCCGCAAATTTAGTTTATTTCTATTGTTTATTATTGTTTCAAAAATATTACACATATTAATTAAAAATAATTAGAATTAGGCAAAATTAATGTACCGTTTTGTCCCATTGTATCCCATTTCGTTCATTTTCATCATGTCCGTTCTTTCTCGTCTCATCCGTTTTGTCTGTCCCGTCCTGTCCCGTCCTATCCCATTATATTTCTTTCCATTTTGTTATATCCCATCATGTTCCTTCCGTTTCTTCTCGTCCCGTTCCCTAAATATAACTAAGGATAGACAAAATTCCCGTAGAGTCCCATCCCATCCCATTTCATGCTTTCATTTTTTCCCGTTCCGTCCTGTTCGCCCTATCAAGTCCCATCCTATCCTGTTTTTTTTTTTTCGTTTCGTCTTGTCTCTGTCCGATCCGTAAACATTATTAGGGGTGGGTGAAATTTCTGTCCCGTCCCTTCTCGTCCCATTATGTCCCTTTCATCCCGTCCCGTCCAATCCCGTCTCATTCCGTTTTTTCATCTCGTTATGTCTAATTTGTCTGTCTCGTCTCGTCCAGTCTTTCATTTCTCTCGTTATATTTTTTCCGTCTCATCATGTCCGGTGTCTTCTCATTTCATTCCAAAAAACTTTAAAAAATTAGTGTTCTTTATATAATATCTTGACATCAATGTAAATTTTATAATATAATAAAGATAAATTCACGACCAAAAAATATAATAAAGATAAATTTACTAAATAATAGTTTTTGTAGATCTATACATAGTCTTTCTCCTTTTAAAAAAAATGATGTTTCATATTCTTGTTAAATTTATTATAATAATAAATGCTAATTATTCTAAAATTAAAATATTAAAATGAAAAAAATATAATAAATAAAATAAAATGCTGACATGGCAAATTTATAAGCAACCAGAAAAGAGGAACATATATAGATTTGTTTAGTGACTCAAATCCCAACGGTTGCTCTATTTCGTAGTTTCGAAACAAGAATCAATCTTGAGATATTTTTATGGGACAAAATATGAGTACGGTTTCATTTGTTTTTTTTGTTTAGTATATGAGCTCCCTATTCTCTGGAAATTCGAAAGATAAATATTATATATAAATATTATATATAAATAGTGTGTAACTTTTTAAGGTTATTATAATTTGAAAAATGTGATTTCACAATTTTCTAATTTCCACGTTTTCACGATTTGGAAATATGATTCTACTAAATTTTACCATTCACTTTATTTTATTAAATTTTCACGTTTTAAAAAAAATATAACTAGTCATAACATGATAAATCTACTAAAACTAATTTATTTTTCTCTTTTTCAACAGTTTATTTTCCTATAACGATTCAGAAATCAAAATCGGTAAACAAAATTTACATAATATACATCATAAACTATATCTAAGTACTATGTGCTAGTTTGTCTGCATTCATATTATTTGTTCTTTTGGAATGTGAGCTATGAAGAAAGTGATTAACATCTTCCGACATACTTCCATTTCTTTGAGTAGAATAGAGAATGCCAATCACTCTTTAGGTTTAAAGACCATCTTCATAAGATCTGAACAGTCCATTTCATATACCATTTTTCATTTATTTAGGTGATGATTGGTTCTCCCGCTACCACCCGCAAACGCAGCGTTTGCGGTTCGTAGCGGTTCTTAGCGTTTTATAACAATCACGACAACCGCTTTCAACCGCTCTATACCACTCTGTACCGCTCTATATCGCTGGAAATCAAAAGCTCCTTTCCGCAAGCGTTTGCGGTTGCGGGCGGTTGCGGTTTGAAAAAAAAAAAAAAAACATAATATCTCCAAATTTGGAATAAGGGTATATTTTTTTGAAAAATACCATAATTATGTTTAAAAATTTCGAAAATACCCTAAATTTTTTCTGTTTTGAAAAATACACTTTTAAAATGTAAAAAGTATGTTTTGACGTGATTTAAACAAAAAAATAATAAATAATTACAAATTAAAACGAAAATTTAAAAAAATAATAAACTAATAAGTTTTTTTTCAAATAAATATAGTATATGTTAAACTGAAACAAATTTTAATATTTTGGATCTTTATATAAACAACTTAACCTCATACACATTCAAACCAAATGAAACTTTAAATAAATTAAAACTTTACATATATTTAAAGTTTATAAATTATTAAAAATTTAAAAGTGGAGAAATATATCTTTCATTTTTAATGTTTATCTTTTGAAAAATTTAAATATTTTTGAAACTTTGCATAAACAACTTTAATCTCACCCCATTTAAACTTTATATAAACAATCTTATATTTTTATTAAATTTTTAAAAAAAAACTAAACAGGTAATTAGGATGTTAAAATGATACAAAATTATTATCAAATATTAATATTTTATATTTCTTATTTGAATTTCGTTTTTATTAAATTAGGAATAATCATTTTACATATAAAAAGTGTATTTTTCAAAACCAAAAAAAAAGGGTAGTTTTCAAATTAAAAATTCATCAAAAAATATATTTAAAAAAAAATTATTAATATGGTTATAAATGTTTTGAATAATTATATATTATTTTTATTTTAGTAACTTTTGGTTAAACCGCTCTTGCACCCGCTGGCTAACCAGTCAAAAATATCCCGCAAACGCAACCGCTATGAATTGCTATACCAGTCGTACAAACAGCTTTTAATCGCAAACTCCCGCTTCCGCAAACTCCCGCAACCGCAAACTCCCGCAACCGCAACCGCAGCGTTAAACCAGTCAGGCCCTTAGTCACTGCAAAGCCTATAGGTTTAAACGCCATCTTTCATACACTGTATAGCCTATACCGAGGCTTCGACCTCCGTTTAAAGTGGTGCTAGCCTCCGACGCAAATTACTTAACACATCAAGAACGGTTTCTGATCAGATGTTATGGAGGGACCGAGGGAAGCTCCTTAACCAAATATAAACAGAGGAAGTTGGTGTACAGTTGACGCCCATTACTTGTTCGATGGATATGCCTTAGGCAGAGGAATTGGAAAAAGTTAAGGGAAAAAATAGCAAAAACATAGATGGGGCATTCCGAGAATTGAACTCGGGACCTCTCGCACCCTAAGCGAGAATCATACCACTAGACCAAATGCCCAGCGTTATCCATCTTAAAATATTAAGTTATTAACAATTCAATTTCACATGTGTCTACATTTTACATATTATCTATGAATTGATTTTTTTTTAAATGAATAATATATTGTTGAATGAAGAACTACAACATTTTTGCCATAAGAAAAAAAAGAAAAGAAATCAATATAATTAAATATACTAGTAAAGAAAAGAAAAGAAAAGAAAAGGGAAGTTAAGCTTAGAACTTAAGTGTTTGAGTATGGGTGTTACAGGTTCGACACATATGCATGATTCTAACGAAAGCACTAAACCGTCCACAAAGATTACAAAGGGAAGCTGCTGCTGCCGCTGCATTGTTAGAGTTTAAACGCTACAGGTATAATGTTATCGATGCCATTTTGATTTGGTTTCCCACAGGCAGCTGTCTTGAAAGAGTCAAAAGTTGTAGATGTAACTATCACCGAGTCTCCTAGTTGTTGTTTTTGTGTCTCAGAATTATCTCTTAACTTTTTCCGTAAAGGAAAGTCAAAGTCATTGGAAGATGGCGGATGGTCATAAACGGACAAACTAAGTTTTGGCTAAGAATGTCTTGTAGTAATATCTTTATCAAAAAAAGCCTTGAAGCAATAAACAATCTGTGGACTGGAGTGGAGGTGTTTGGCAAGTAAAAAACTGTTTACGTCATCTATTACGTATTCTGTTCACTTATTGTCTTTTTTGCTCTCCACGCATTTATTCTATATAAGCTATCACAAATATAATCCAAAACCAAAACAAAAAACTTGAGAGTTTCTTTTTAGCGTTGAATCATCATGGGTTCAGAAACAACCAACAAATCTTATCCTCTTCACTTTGTTCTCTTCCCTTTCATGGCTCAAGGCCACATGATTCCCATGGTTGATATCGCAAGGCTCTTGGCTCAGCGCGGTGTGACCGTAACAATTGTCACGACGCCTCACAATGCAGGGAGGTTCAAGAATGTTCTAAGCCGTGCCATCGAATCTGGCTTGCCCATTAACATGTGCATGTGAAGTTTCCGTATCAAGAAGCTGGTTTGTCCGGAAGGACAAGAGAATGTCGATCTACTTGACTCGATGGGCTCATGATACCTTTCTTTAAAGCGTGTAACATGCTTGAAGAACCGGTCCAGAAGCTCATGGAAGAGATGAGTCCTCCACCAAGCTGTCTGATTTCTGACATGTGTTTGCCTTATACAACCAAACTCGCCAAGAAGTTCAATATACCAAAGATCCTCTTCCATGGCTTTTCTTGCTTTTGTCTTCTCTGTATGCATGTTTTACGCAAGAACCGTGAGATCTTGGAGAATTTAAAGTCAGACAAGGAGTACTTCGTCGTTCCTTATTTTCCTGATAGAGTTGAATTCACAAGACCTCAAGTTCCAGTCGAAACATATTATCCTGAAGAGTGGAAGAGTTCATGGAGGGTTTGAAAGAAGCGGACAAGACATCCTATGGTGTGATAGTCAACACATTTCAAGAACTCGAGCCTGCTTATGTCAAAGACTACAAGGAGGCAAGGTCCGGTAAGGCATGGTCCATTGGACCCGTTTCCTTGTGCAATAAGGTGGGAGCAGATAAAGCTGAGAGGGGAAACAAATCAGACATTGATCAAAGCGAGTGCCTAAATGGCTTGATTCTAAAGAGGAAGAGTCGTGCTATATGTTTGCCTTGGAAGTATTTGCAATCTTCCTCTGGCTCAGCTCAAGGAGCTCGGGCTAGGCCTAGAGGAATCCAAAAGACCTTTTATTTGGGTCATTAGAGGTTGGGAGAAGTATAAAGAGTTAGTGAGTGGATCTCGGAGAGCGGTTTCGAAGAAAGAATCAAAGACAGAGGACTTATCATCAAGGATGGTCTCCTCAAATGATTATCCTTTCACATCCTTCTGTTGGAGGGTTCTTAACGCATTGCGGATGGAACTCAACTCTAGAGGGGATAACCTCTGGTCTACCGCTGCTTACATGGCCGCTATTTGCAGACCAATTCTGCAACGAGAAATTGGTCGTGCAGGTACTAAAAGCTGGGGTGAAAGTCGGGGTTGAAGAGTCATGAAATTGGAGAAGAGGAGAAGATAGGAGTGTTAGTGGATAAAGAAGGTGTGAAGAAGGCAGTGGAAGAATTGATGGGTGAGAGTGATGATGCAACAGAGAGAAGAAGAAGAGCCAAAGAGCTTGGAGAATTAGCTCACAAGGCTGTGGAGGAAGGAGGCTCTTCTCATTCTAACATCACATTGCTCTTAGAAGACATAATGCAACTAGCACAATCCAAGAATTGATTACGTCATTTTAAAATGAAATTAACATACAACATATATATTGCTAAAAAACATTTTCAATCATTAGTATTTTAGTAAATATAATAAATATAAAATTAGTATTTATTTGCAACTAATTCTGAATTAACTGGCAGTTTTATACTAGAATTTGAATGTGATGTACACATTATAGACCTAGTTTTACATATGTTCAATACTTTAGCAAATTTCACATGTCTCTACATTTAAATATTATCTATGAATTGAATTTGTCATTAAAATGAATAATATATTGTTTAATGAAGAACTACAGCATTTTTGCCATAAGAAAAAATTGAGAAATCAATATAATTAAATATATTTTTAAATGACAGATAATTTGGAGAAAAAATGAGATTTAAACTTGAAAATAATAATTAGAAAGTAAGATATAATATGAAAAAATCCTTAATTCATAATTTATAATCACAAAATGTAGATTTATAAAATATAAAGATAAGAAATTAAGTACTTCTTACTTATTATTTTTTTTATGATATGTATTGAACAAAAAAAAAAAATCAATGTGAATTATCTTATATATAACTCATGTATTTTTATAGTTTAACTGATGAAAAAAAATTACTTTTGCTCCAAATTTTCTAGATTCCGTTTGCATGTCAAATTATACGATCCTATTCCTTCCCGACATTCTGGAAATACTATTTCTTTCATGTGTTAGGCCAATTTCCATGTGGCCACAATCACCTTTGTGGTTGGTAACTTAATTATATCTTTTGGATTTCTGTCAACATTTGAAAATATTTTATCATTTCGGGATTTTCAATTAAATCAAAGTAATCATGAATACATTTCCATTTTATCGTCCTTTCGTGTATATCAAAAAGATAAGGCATATTAGTAAATAAATCATCCACATGAAACCTTGTTGCTGGCGTTGGAATTGGAGACGGATAAACTAACTTTTAATGTTTATAATTTTTTGATAATTTTCTCCACTTTAGTTTATCTCACTAATAATTCTTTAGTTATTCAGATTAACCGTATTGTTTATTTGACGGAAAAGTTAGGGTTTTAGTGAAAAAATCGTGATTTTACGGTTTTTGCGGAAAACCGTATTGTTTTGCCAAAACCGTAAAATCATGTTATTTCACAAAACTGTAAAATTGCGATTTATACCAAATTTGTAAAATGGCGTTTTTTGTCGAAACTGTAAAATCATTTTTTACGGTATTGTATTCAAATCCAACCAAATACAATTTTGGATTCATTACGTGTGAAAAACATTTGATGAATTTTTTTTTCTTTTATTTATTACAATATTTCTTTTAGATTAATTTAATAAAATGGATCAATCATTGATCCAACCCATTATAAACCAAACTATTTCTATCCAATCCAATTAATTCATCATCCATCTGAACCATAAACCCATTTGGAATTCAAATTTTTAACTCATTTAGGTTAATGGATAAGATGGATTGCGTCAATCCAATCCATGGATTTGGATCCATTTTAACACCCATTTTTATTTTGTTATTTTATTATAAACAGGGCATACCAATCAAATATCATGTTTTCACGTTTTTTAAAGTGATTTCATTATACACAATTAACTTGTTATATATATAATTATAGAAGATAAAACTGATCATTTTATTTATTAAGGGTCTGATTAGTATGTCAAATGAATAACAGAATAATGAAATAACTTTAAAAAAATTAGCGGGACAAACTGAATTCTATACTATAAAAGTTGGCCAACTCTCTCTAGTGTGCCGTCACGTCAGGTAGATTTCGAGTTAAAAAATATCATATTTTAAAAAATCTATTTTAACAAAAAATGACAAAACCGCCCGCGCGTAGCGCGAACTTTAACCTAGTTGAATACAAAATTTATCAACAAAATTATAAAATGCAAAAATCTATTTTTAGTGCTCAGTAACTTTTTGGAAATATGGCTTTTATAGACTCATATTTAGTGTTAAATAAAAAAACCTTTTAAGATAAAATAAAATTATAAAAATGACATGGCACAAATTTCTTTGATAACTTAAAAAAAACATCCTCTATGATGACATTTTTCTTAAGTATATGTGAAAATATTAAAGAAAAATAATTAAATATAATAATATTCTTTAATTTAAAATTAGAAAACCTACAAAATTTAAATATATGAAAGATTTATTAGTAAAATTGGAATTGAGGTTAATTTCAGAATTATATCAATATTTTCTTAACTGGTAATTTTTGTTTCTTATCACATAATCAGAAAAATCAGATGTAATTAAATATTAAAAAGCTAAATTTCCTTATGCAAGAAATTTTTTTATATAAGTGCATATATATTTATAATATATACACATATGTAAATAATATATGGTACTATGAATGGGTAATATGTCATGAATTTCTTGTTTTTTTGGTTAAAAATAGTCTATTTCTATATATTTGGATATATGTTTAAAAAAGGAATCATAATTTTTCTCTGTGTACTTAATATGTGTGAACGTGTATATAAAGTGTTTTAGGCTTATGAAAATATTTGTACTTGGAGAATATTTATTTTCTTTGGTTGTTTGTTTCAAACTGAAGAAGATGGTTTGCTGCATTCCGATTCCACCACCAACTGTTTCAAACTGGTAAGTGTAATTTATATTCTTGTACATTTTTAATAAACTTCTCTTATACAATCCACTCTTGTTCGATGTTTTTAGTAATCTGGATGTGGAAATCAAGATACCGGATTGTAGCCATTGCGCGACAATTATGACTGAAGTTATTCCCAGATTCAAAGGTAGATTCCGTGCTGGATGTTAAATATATAGTTTTAATAATTAAATATATAGCAATCGTAATAATATGTTGCTGTGCATATCACCTATGCATGCATGTTATAACTTGTTTTTTGCATGATGAATATATGATTGTCAGGGGTTGAAACATGTGTGACGGATATAGTGAATCAAAATATTGCCGTCAGAGGAAGTTTTAATCTCGAGAAGTTGTTGAAAAAACTCAGTAAACTAACAGGTGAAGATCAAGTGGTGCTTGTGAAGAAAGAAGTTGAATCTGAAATAGTCCAGAAGAAAAACCTTGGAGCACTTCTTGAAACCGATAAGAAATCAGAAGAGTATGCAAATAACAAGGAAATGGACAAAATTCTGATGTTCAATGATGAAAATCCCAACGCCAGGTGTACTATTTCGTAAACGTAGTATGTCAAATTAACCTTCACATAGGGGTAAATCTTGGCATTATGTCTCATTTCATTTTAAATTTAGATTCATCAGAATTTTTCTTCAAAGCCTTTATGATTGAGAAATATGTAAAGTCTTTTAGTCTTTACATATCTCTCTATTTTGTATTCTTCGGTTTATCAAGGTTGTACGTTTTAAGATATTCACACACACAAAAAGTGCTCGTACCAAGACATGTCACACAAAGGTTAAATGAAACAAAGAAGAAGATATGTAACTGTTTTATACAAAGATGTTAGATGATTGTACAACTCGATCTCCATCACACCCCTAAACAAAGTTACAACAACAAAGGAAAAAAAAAAAAACAGTTTTACCAAATACTAATCTTCTTTACCACTTCTACTATATATAGAACTTTGATCAGTACTTAGAAGAAACCTTCTCTTACACAGAGTGTTTGCTTGTATATGTTTTAGCCACCAATTCAACTCTCAATACAGAGCTTCCCTTGGTGCACCAATTAAGTTAAGTGCGGTTGCTGCAATATGAGACGGCATGAGACCAGCTTCAGCCATTTGATCAGCTGGTGAACCATGGTCGATGTACCGATCAGGCAATACCATTGGTCTCCACTGTAACAAAATGAACACAAATGGCAAATTAGAAAACCACAAGATTTAGAAAAGACAGAGCAAGTTATTAGGAATGATATGTTAAAAAGTTGTATATACCTTGAGCTTGCCATCAAGAAGACCATCAAGAGCAAGAAACTGAACAACATGCGATCCAAACCCTCCAATAGAACCTTCTTCAACAGTGATCAGAACCTCATGCGACTTAGCTAACCTGCGAATGAGAGCACGGTCCAATGGCTTGCAAAACCGTGCATCAGCCACGGTTATGTTCAAACCGCGCTCTTCAAGCATCGCAGCCGCTCCAAGACAGCTCTGAACCGCTGCGCCATAACCCAACAACGCAACTCTCTCTCCTTCTTTCAAAATCCTACCTTTCCCAATCTGAAACACACCCCAAAGAAATGATCCTTTCGATGTCAAAATGATAAAGAAAGAGAGACAGCCAGACAGATATGAGAGGATGATGTTAAAGCTATGTACCTCAATAGGAACACCTTTGTTTCCAGGAGGCAATGCGACGCCAATACCATTACCTCTAGGGTAACGGAAGCAAGAAGGACGATCATCGATAGCAGCAGCGGTTGCAACAATGTTAAAAAGCTCTGCTTCATCCGATGGAGCCATTACTATCATGTTAGGAAGACAAGCCATAAACGTCACATCAAAAGCTCCACAATGTGTTGGACCATCAGCTCCAACAAGTCCAGCTCTGTCCATCGCAAACCTCACCGGCAACTTCTGCAAATCAACATCATGCACAACCTAGAGAAACAATACTCTTATTAGTCTCTAAAACGTTTTCATTTTCAAAGTAAACAAAAATTATTGAAAAACGTTGTAACTTGCCTGGTCATAAGCACGCTGCATGAAAGACGAATAGATTGCACAGAAGGGCTTAAGGCCTTCACATGCTAAACCGGCAGCGAAAGTAACTGCATGTTGCTCCGCGATCCCAACATCAAAACATCTTGTAGGAAAGCGACGCTGGAAGAGGTTTAAACCTGTCCCTCCTCCCATGGCTGCATGGATCGCAACCACATCTTTGTCTACCTCCGCTTCCGCCACCAGTGCCTCAGCAAAATACGTTGTAAGAGACTGAGTCTTGTTAGTAGTTTTGAACTGTTTACCAGTCGCTGGATCAAACTTTACAACTCCTGAAAGCAAAAAAGAATCAGTAACATATACATCTCACAGCTCAAGAACTAAAGAGAAACGTTTAGTTTCCATTGTTACCATGGTATTTGTCATCAGCTCTCTCTGCGTAAGGATAACCACGACCTTTCTCTGTTATGACATGAATAAGCACCGGTCCTGTGGTTCTTGCACTCTTGACTTCTTTAAGAATGGCTACCAAATCATCTATGTTGTGTCCATCAACAGGACCAATATAGTAGAGACCGAGCTCTTCAAACAGTGTCGATCCAGTCCCGCTTATCATTCCTCGAGCATACTCATCTACCTTTGCAGCTAACTGGTGCATTGGCCCTCCTATTTGCTTCGTCATACCCTAAACATAACAAGAGCTCAAAATTCTTATGAACTCCACTAAGACCAAGATTCTTTAACACTCTTGACAAGAAATGGAATATAGAACTTGCCTTTGCGACTTCTCTCAACTCTCTGAGAGCAGGGTTAGACTGTAACCGACTAAGAGCGCTGCTCAACGCTCCAACAGGTGGGCTTGGTCCATCCAAAGTAGCAGTAGGTAACGAGACTTGCTTGTTGTCATTAAGAATGACAATCATATCGGAGTCTAGATATCCAGCGTTGTTCATGGCTTCATAAGCTTGTCCTGCAGTCATAGCACCATCACCAATCACAGCAACCACATTGTTGTTCTTCCCTTTCAAATCCCTTCCTACAGCCATTCCTGTAAGTAAAAACACAAACTTCTGATTCAGTTTTCGCTTTCTTGTTGTTACCACAAGACAAAAGGCAAGAACACCAAAAGGATTGATTGTTTTACCTAAGCCAGCAGATATTGTGGTTGAACTATGTCCAGTGCCAAAGCAATCATGTTCACTCTCTCCTCGTTTAGTGAAACCAGAGAGACCATTTGTTTGCCTCATTGTCGGCATCTTTCCTCTTCTCCCGGTGAGAATCTTGTGAGGATAAGACTGATGACCAACGTCCCAAAGAATCTTGTCCTGTGGAGTGTTGAAAATGTAGTGAAGAGCCACAGTGAGCTCCACAACACCAAGACTTGACCCCAAATGTCCACCGGTCTTTGAAACGTTGAAGATCACATCTGACCTCAGCTCATCAGAGAGTTGTTTCAGTTCCTGCAAATTAATTTAGCACAACATTACAAAGGAACCTTAAAAACAGATGGATCCAGGCTTTTCAGGTGATTTTAGTGAAATTTTACCTTGACGGAAAGATTTTTCATGTGGATTGGGTAATTGATTGTGTCAAGTAATGGAGTTGGTGGTCTGTTTGAATAATATTCACCCTTCTCTGTAAGTGAAGCACTCACTTTTGCCTTTCTGTTTGACTGTACAACAACACAAATCCAACAACAGCAATATCATTAAGAACACAAACTGTCATTTTCTCCAATCAATTTTGCAGAATTTAAAACCAGAAGAGGGATATAAATTGGGGTCTAATTTCACAAGAATTTCAATAAATTAACAAAGGAAAAAGGTTCGAATTTGTTTGACTTTTGTCAAAAATGAAGTAAACCCATTATTTTAATTCAAGACATAAAGCTACAGTTGACCTCAGATTCCTAAAATCACTTTTTCATCGATGAACTCAAAGAAGAGAATCTTACATGGCAGTTGTTTTGTTTCGGACATAGCGATGGAAGATCTGAAGGCAAAGATCGAGAAGAAGACAAAGAAGTTGACTTGCAAGAATCAGGTAAAACTCCTTTGCTGACTATGTAAGAAGGAAACGCAAATGCAGACAAAGCCATTGAAGGAGGTAGTGAGAGACTTCGGAGAAAAAAAATGTAAGTAGATCAAAAGTTTTGTAAGGAACAAGGAGAATCAAAGTTTTGGGTTATCAAGAACAGTAAAAAAAAATTGTACTTTAGAATCCACTTAGTGAAATGATAAAATTTGGTGGAGGAGGAGGTGGTAAGTGGTGACAACTGACAATGGTGGAGAATAGAAGAAGGAAAGAGAGAGACACCTTTTTATTTCTTTTTTAATGGGTGATGAATCAAAACGACAAAAAAAGCCAACTTCATGGACTACGGATTTTATGTAACCGTGTCTCCATGTATTTAAAACAGCGAGAAAAAAGCTCAAAAGATAGTGAAGATGATAGTCCTGGTTCGTCATCCGCAGAGAACTTGAGATTTTGGTTGGGCCACGTCAACTATGGAAATCCAAGTTTTGGATAGATGTTGATATATTACCTATATGGCTATATCTATTGTTTTATTTTTCTTCATATGTTCTTTGATAAGAATGGTAAAATGATCCAACGAATGTTTGTTTTACACCATCTATATATATATATATATCTACCAAAGATAAGAAAGATGGTGTCAAATTAATATTTAGAAAAAGTTGATCTGGTGGTAGTTTAATAGAAAGAATAATATAGTTAAAATTTTCTATGAAATTTAGCATTTGTTAATATATAGTTATATACTCTTATAAAGAAAAAAATCCCTAAAGAAATCATAATCATTTACATAAATATTTATACTTTATATGGGGTTTAAGTTTATTATTTTAAAATTGATGTATTGATACTACATGCTTAATTTTTTTTTTGTTAAAGGGCTTTATATATATATATATATTATTTTAAATTTGATGTAGAATAGTAAATCTACATTTATATATAATATATACATTATATTTGTCTTTCGTATTAGAGGTAATATGTTAAAATTTAACACAATTCATAAACTATCTAATACTCTCTCCGTTTCTTTAAGATGAATTTTCTAGACATTATTTATTGTTCCACAAAGATAAAATTTTAGTTTTTTTATGCACTTTTTTAGCTTTAAAAAAAACATTAATTGTATTTGTTGGATTTTTATTGGTTTAAAATTATAAAAAGTTGTTTTATTGCAAAAATCTATATATTAATTACTGAAAATCATTTTTTTCTTAATATATGTGAAAACTTTTAAAAGTTTATCTTTAAAGAATAGAGGGAGTATATAAGTATAAGTGTATAACTAGTATAATTGTTTCATAAAATTTCTTTTCAATTATATTTCAAATGATGTTAACATTTTTACAACACATTACAAAATAATATTACGGGCAAAAAGAGATTTAGAAAAGTCTAAAAAATAATGAGTAAATTGCACCGGATGATTTAAAAAATAAATTAAATAAACTCAACATTTTGGAATATCAGTTCAAGGTTTACATTTAAAGTTTAGACAAAGATTCCTTTTTAATATTTTATTTTAAAATGATTAAAAAAACGAGTTACGGATTTTAATCAAATTAGCGAGGAGTTAGAAATGGAAATTAGTATCATAGCCCATGTTCAGAAAATGTGGATTTTGAGAAGTATATGTGTGGGATGCATGTTCGTTATAGGCAGAGCCTTCAAACTGTTTTCTTAATTACAAGTATTAAAACTTATGTTAAAAGTCTTCACAACGGTGTGCCAAATGTTAGATGAAGAATTATGTTGGTGATTAAGGTGGTATAAAATTATGGGAGCTAATTTCACTCGATGTAGGAAGCTCTAAAAGTTTGTGTGGTCCTTGATTTGAATGAATTATCATATCAGAAGTTAAATAAATCAGATATAACTCCAACTAATATTGTATAAGGTCTTAATTTATGGAAGAACACAAAGACAACTTTGCTACTTAAGCCCAAAACGTACAATATAATGCTAACAAAGAATGGAAAAACCCAACAACACAAGAATTTTTTTTGTCCAAGGGAATAAGAAAGTGTTTTTTTTTTCTTTTTTTTTTGTAACGAGTTATTTATCTATGGACACCTAAATTATCAAGTGAAATTTGTGATGACTTATATTTATTTTAATTTTTTTACACTGTTTGCTTACTAATCTATCAAGTAAAGATTCATGATGGCTTATGGTGATTGGATTGATTACTGTGATTTGTTATGGAATACTAGTATTTACGAGAAAAAAAGTTCTTTAATAGTTTATGGCATGAGAATTTTATGGTGAGTGCATTAATAAGTGCCGTCTAGATCATTCATTTACGAAGAAAACATCTTAATATGCTAGTTGTCGCTGCCACTGAGAATTTGAAACGTTATTAAAATGGCACGAGTGTTGTTGTTGCATGGTTAAAAATTAATATTGAATTAATGTTTAGGTTTTATATGCAGAAAAATGTTTACAAAGGAAAAACGTAAACTTAAAGGGTTAGGCTTAGGCAACAAAACTTAAGGGTTACAACGACCACAATAACAATATCTTGCTCTTAATTAAGCGTTCTTAAAGATGCAAGACCACTAACTACAGAAAAACCTTCTCATTAATTTCAAAACTAATAACATAAAAAATCAATCATTAATATCTTATTAAACATACTTTCTTAACTAATTTTCAATTACTTCACTAGGATTTGAATATGATTTATTAAAGACTTTAAGAAAACAAAAATGATTTATTAAAGATGTAAAATAATGAATATGAATTATTAAAGAAGTTACATGATACACTTATTTTTACACATATTCAGTTTTAACAGATTTCACATGTGTCTGTATTTTACATATATGATAAGAAATGAAAAATAATAATGGAGTAAATAATTGTTAAATTAATAACAACTGCATTTTTGCCTTAAGAAAAGCACTTACAATCAATACCCATAAATATACTTTTTAGAAAAACAAAGCTTAACTGTATGAAGTTTGAGTTTAAAAAATAAAAAATAAAAATAAATAAAATAAATAAAGTAAAAATTAAATAGAAAAATTGCGTGATCTATAATTTATAAATATTACCTAAGTTAGCTACAGAAAATCTAAATTGTATAAAATTTGAGATTTTATTTTAAGATTTATAAGCAATATTTTCTTTTAACTTTTCTTTTAAGATCTGTTTGAAAAAAAAATATCTTTATGTGAAATGTTGTCTATATAAGTCATATAGTTTTCTAGTTTTTGACTTAAAAGTGTTAGGTTTCATAAGATTCGCGGTGACAAGATTCTTAATTCTAGTGTTACTAATTTGAAAATCGAGTGTGATGGGTTTGTTTTCAAAGAAGTCACGAGGAAACACTCTTAATAACAAGTTGAGTGTCTTATACCTCTGCATATATATGTATCATCTAAATAAGAATTTTATAGTTTTCTTACGATTCTACATTTTCTTCTTTTCTTAAAAATTGTCTAGTGTTATTGTGGAGGCCGAGTTGGCGGTTGGGATGCATTGTGTAAATTGCGAAAAAATAATTAGAAAAGTTGTTTGTTCTGTGGAAGGCAAGAAAATGAGATATACTATACACCCGATATATATGCTTTGATGGTAACGTTATATTTATGTTGTTTTAATTTTCTAAATGATATGTTATTATTAGGAGTTCAAGCATGTATAACGGATGTTGATGCTCAAAAAGTTACAGTCACTGGTAATTTTAGTTTGGATAAGGTGTTGAAGACTCTCAAGAAAAAAGCTGGTAAAAAAGCAAAAATTGTGATGATAAAAGAGAAAAATGATAGTTCAGAAGAGGAAGAAGAAGAAGAAGAAGAAGAAGAATGAAGATGATGAATTTCATATAGTCCAGAAAGATGATGTGTATATTTGTTTTAACCTATATATCTCTATGTTTAATTATGATGAGGATCAAAGTATCGGTTTCGATTAACGATATTTGAATCTGGGTGTAAATAATAATAATCCTACTTATTTTTCTTATTATATTTCATAATATATCTTTTCCTAATAGTTATATATACATTATGTGACGGTGTGTAAATATGTAATGTATATATAAATATATGTGGGGATTATATAAAAGTGGACGGTTATTGTTGTGGGGAAAGTTACAATGAAGAGAATACATAAATAGGTATAAGAAAAAGAATCGTTCACAAAACTATAAACATGTTGACAAAAAACTATAGGAAGTATCATCAAAGTTGAAACGATTAGGATCACTATCTATCAAATGCTCATTACTTGGAGATAGTCAAACTGGTGAATTGATTTTAGTCTTTTATAGAAAATGTTTTAGTCGGCCCCTGCTCTGAATCTGTGGAGAGATGATGTCTCAAGCAGTTTCAAACTTTAGTGTGAACAAAATTGTGGAAGAAAAAGGAATTCTTAATCATCTTTGACCAATATTTAAACTTGCTATTGAACTTGCCCATGTTACTATCGCACTTCGTTGCAATAAAATATCTGAGAGGGCATGTGACTTTCGTTTTTTAAGTTTTTGACATCCTTAACTCATGATATTGAAGTTGGTTTAAGCTGAATCGGTTTCCTTTCGCTGGTTTAGCTTGTACAGTTGGTTTGGTTCATTCTTTATTAATTCTTTGACAGTTGTATATAAGACATTAAGACCGATTGTAGATCATTTCTGAATCTAATGAGAAAATACTTTTCTTCTTCATCAATCTTTCTCATCTCTCCGTAGACCGTAATAGTAAATATGGTTTGATTACACCATGACGTAATAGTAAATATGGTTCATGTTGATTCTAAATCTTGTTTAGTAAAAGACGTCGAATGTTTTATCTTTGAATTTTTGGGTGAGTTTTAGTCTTTGCTTGGTAAAATAATTGATGAAAGCCACTTTTTAGTTAAGAGTTGCATGGAAGCGCCGGTGGAGCTGCGATTCCCGCTTCAGAAGCGGAACCGGAATCGCTTAAAAACGCTAGGAATCACGATTCCTGAAAAGCGGACGATTCAGAATTGGAAGCGGTCTGTGCTTAGATCGGAAGCGTTCACATGTAGAAACAGTTGGGCCGGCGACCTATTTTTCCACCACGAAGTTTCGGTCATACTATATGTGGCCCAATGTATGGTCTCATATCATTTCTCCATCATTTGAAAGTTAAATATCTATTTCCCCACCAATATAACTTTGAATACTCATTTCTCCACAGGTTCAATTGTGTTGGTTCAATCTTTTTACCAACGAACCAAAACCATCAAACCGGTTTGTAAACCGAACCAAAACCCGAGTTCTCGCATATCTCGCAAATCTTCACCAATGTCTTTACCAACGAGCCAAAATCTTCTTCGTTTAAACTTAAATCCCAAATTCACTGCAATTTAAAAAGATGCGGATTTACAGTTAAGGATTATCTTCACTCAAATCTCAATTATGGGTTTTGTGAAATCACAGAAGAAAATAATCTGAAACTGAAGAATATGAACATTCGATTGAAACAGTTGAAGCGAGTGATTCTTCACAATACATGATTGATGATAAAACAAAAAAACTAAACTAAATCTAAAGAAAGCCCCAAAAAATTTCCCAAAAAAAGAGAAAACATCACGAAATCGAATTTGGTGTTTGATCTAATCTTCGTCAGCAGATGGCTTCGATGAACCACCAACCTTCTTGGGAAGGAGAAGGCTGTGGATGTTGGGCATCACTCCTCCGTTAGCAATGGTCACATCGCCGAGCAATTTGCTCAATTCCTCATCGTTCTTCACCGCAAGTTGAATGTGCCTCGGAACAATTCTCGTCTTCTTGTTGTCTCTCACTGCGTTTCCAGCCAATTCCAAAACCTAAAAGGCGAGATACAATTCACCCAGAAATCGTCAAAATTGGGGCTAACAGAATCTAACTACGAGATCTGAAAATCAAAGAAGAGGGATTGATAAATTATCTCAGCGGCGAGGAATTCGAGAATGGCGGCTAAGTAGACCGGAGCTCCGACACCAACACGGCGTACTTTCCTTTCTTCAGGAAACGAGCGATACGACCCACCGGAAACTGGAGACCGGCTTTGCTACTCCTTGTAGTCGCCTTCTTCACAGCCGCAGATCCGAGAGTTTGTCCACGACCCGCCATTGTAAAATCGGGATGAAATGTCGAATTGGTTAACTAGTTGTAATTGGGTTTAAAATTGGGTTGAAAGAGGTTTTGTTTGGTTAACAAGAGATTCGGGAATAGTAAACCGTGTTTCCTGACCATTTAACTAGTTTAATTACAACTCTATGTGGATCTGCATATTTAACTTTGAACCTGTGGAGAAATGAGTATTTAAAGTTATATTGGTGGGGAAATAGATATTTAACTTTCAAATGATGGGGAAATAATATAAGTCATATATTGGGCCGCATATAGTACGACTGAAACTTCGTGGTGGGGAAATAAGTCGCCGACCCGCAACAGTTCAACAAAATGAAGAAGACACCGAAAAGTCTCCTCCTCTTATTTTCGGTCCATATAATTTATTCATCACTTAGCCCAATTATATTATTTTTTCTTATCCAATCTAGGAGAGTTGCTCTCTCCATCTAGAGTGTCCACATCAGCACAAAAACATTAAATTGTATTTAAATTTATTTATTAAATATATGACTATTCATATTTCTTTACATTTATTCATATTTAATAAAAATATACAAATAAATTAAATTAATTAATAGAAAGTATGTGATAATTTGATGTTAAAAGTTATCAAAAAGTTGGAATATAAAATAGAGATGGAGTAAAGAAATATTTAACTTCAAATAGTATATATTTACCTTTTTATTCAAAGGATTTATCCTATTTAAAAATGTTATAATGTGTTTACAAGTTAAAAAGTTGAATATAAATTAATTAAGATAATAGAAAGCTAATGAAACATTAGAGTTAGAGTTTGTTTTTCTAAACAAATAGAAATGGAGTTTTATATGTAAATTTAATTGTAGTGAAAAACAAGAATATGTTTACAAATTTTAACCTTCAGTCAAATGCATATACATATTTATAAATTTTAACCTTCAATCAAATACATATACATGTTTACAGTCTAATAGAAGTAAAAAAAAAAGTAAACAAACATAATATTTATAACATGATAAATTTTAGAAATAGAAAACTCGAGATAAAGCGGGGTGTTAATATCCTAATAAATTAAAATAAAAAAACAAATTATTCATATTTTTTAGTGTTAGTGGTTGAGTTAACTCAAAACATAACAAAAACATGAAAGTTAATACAAAACCATCATAATTCAAATCAACGAGTATAAATAAAATTAAACAGAAAAATTATTGCAAACAGCTCCACGCTTGTTTAATATCTATATTGGTGTCATTCTACTCTCAGGCTGCCATTTATATCTTCTAAATTCAGTTTTTTTCCACGTTAGCATATTATCTTCTCTATACGAATTTCTCACAATTTTTTTCCTTTTATATTTTTCTTTCATTCTCATCTCTCTCTTCTCTCTCTTCGACCACTTGATTCGACGAAGACGAAGAATCAATCCCCACGAATTGGTTAGATCTCCGGTACATGGCGTTTCCAGGAATGGCTTTCATGTCAAAATCCGAAGTCGAGAAACCACCAATCGACGTAATTGTCGAAGAATCTCCGGCGCCGGTAAGATTAATCTCCGGCGAAGGCGAAACCGGGTCTGCAACAGCCGATGGATTAAGCTCCGAGAGCATATTATCAAGCCATAAGTAGAGCTCCGACGGATTGTAGTGAACAGTATCCGTCGCGAGATGAGACAAATCATCTTCCTCAACATTACCCATCATCGTTTCCTTTGTAAATGGTAATGATTAACGATTGGGTTACGGTTTGTTGTTAAATTGAGATTCTGGGTTTTGAATTTGATGAGTATGCATCGATCTAACGGTGATGAAACTGGAAAATTTGGCATTTCTCTGTTAAACTAAGATTTTGATCAAGAGATGTAGATTTTTGCATGTATCTCTCTCTATATGATTAACGGTTGCATTAGAGATGATTAACTGTGATTTGGTGTTTATATTAGGATGGAGTAACCACTTTGTATCTAAGAGAAAGTACCATTTGATCATACCGAATGATACCGAGTAGAATTTGCCCCTACAAGAGGATGTGTTTGATCTGCAAACACATCTCTTACACGGAATGATTCGCACCAATGGATATGGTCACTGGATATGCGTCAATGGCATGGAAGGTGGATCAAAACACTTATGCGGAAGAGAAATTGTGGATCTTTGGGATCGTATATGTACAAACCTCGGAGCAAGGTAAAGAGAAATGGAAACATTTTGAACAAGCTTCATTTTTGTTTTCATGGTTAGAGATTGAAGTGTATGAGTGTGTGTGTGTTCTTGCAGGATGATAACAGTTGAAGATATTTCTAAGAAGAGGTCTCTAGATCTTCGGTTGTTATATGGAATAGCATACGGCCATTCTTGGTTTGGAAGGTGTGGGTACAAGTTTATCCGTGGAAGCTACGGTGGGACCAAGAGCGATTACGAGAATGCTATAGAGCTTTTAGGTTCTCTTGAGATTGATCAGGTTGATTCTGATTTCAATGAGCATAAACAGTTCAAAGAGGTAAAGCAGCTTTTCAGGTCGTCTGAAAACGCTCAAAGATCTCTTGAGGTTTATGCTCATTATCAAGTCAAATGCTAGCAAAGTAGTAACCTTCGTGCAGCGGTTTCGTCTCCTTTAATGGATACTCATCAGAGAAGATCAAGTAGATTGTTCTTGAAGAAGAGTGATGCTGTGGAGAATGAGAAGTCTTCTCAGAGGTTTAGGATTTACAGCGATGTTGCAGCTAATTTGGGAAGTAGATGGCCAGTGAGAAGACTTGAATACGCAGCTGAAGTGATCGTAGAGTCACTGAAAGAGATGAAATCGTTAAATCAGAACGGTATGACTCGTCAAGATGTGAGGGATGCAGCAAGATTACATATTGGAGCTGATGTTCATGGAGATCTGTTGTTGCTATACACAAACGTGCTTTTGGATTACCCTGAATCTAAAGCCGGCAGATCTGCAAGTCAAGTGATCTTAGACAGTAAACACTTCGTGGCCTTTATGGGACAAGAATGAACAACTCTTGCGTTTTGTTTGTCGTATCGATCCAAGTTTGATTGATCTGAGATCAGAACAGGTCAACGCGCTTCCACCGGGAGAGTTAGTCACAGTCTCGCTGTAAGCTACAGTCTTTGATCTGAAACAAGCTATTGAAGACACTTACTGCATTTTAACAAACTTCACGGTGAGTGAGATCGATGAGATTGAGGAAGATGATGATGGGAAGTTACTGTTTGGAAGAGTGGAGACTTGCTATGCTTTGAAAGTGAGAGGGTTTGGGATTGATTTGGAATCGAAGCTCAAGTTTCAAGGTGGGTGTGATAGTGATACGTGGATGGTGAAATGTGTTTGCAAAGCTAGAGACGATGATGGAGAGAGGATGATTTCTTTTGACGTTTGTGAGGTTTGGCAGCATACAAGATGCTGTGGGATTGATGATGATTCGGATACTTGGCCTCCGCTTTATGTTTGTTCTAATTGCTGTGAAGAGTTTGCACTTTGCAGAGCAACAGAGGAGAGTTTTGCAGCCAAAGTATGAGTTTCCGAATCAAGATCATTACATGTTACTGCTTGAAGGAGCAGATGATTACTTTGTTGATGAGAGATGTCTTGGAGTTATGTTCCCTTCAGAGAGTTTTCCTTAGTTCTTAATGTGATCGATGATGGTACATCCTGTTTTTTGGTGGCATATCTTTCAAATTCCTTATGTTGGGTTACTCAAGAGTCTCAGATTTAGATTAAAATAATGGGAATTTATACCGATTGTATTTTGACTTTCTATGGTACAGTAGTTCTTTAGTTCTTCTTTATAGTTACCCGTGCACGCGCGGGTCTATATTAATACTTTGATTAAATATTTTTTATCTATAATTTTTTGTTGTCAGTAGCATGTCATGCTGATAATTGAACTAATATTAATTATTCTTCGTCATTTTTTTATTTTTCATTGTTCTATTCTCCTTTATTCGGTTTCTTTTTCTTTGGTTTCTTCGTTATCTTTATTCTCCTCATTTTCCTCTTATGTTTCTTCGTCATTGCAGTTTTTATTTCGTTATTTGATATACTTCTTCATCTTTGTTCATCTTCTGATTATTTTTTGTATTTATTCTTTAATATCTTTGTCTCCACATTTTTTTTTATGTTCCTTGTTATTATTTGTGCTCGTCCTTGCTTATCATTCTTCTGTTTTTTCTATGGTTATTTTAGAGGATCGAATTGTTAGGATTTTTCTATAATTTTCTTGATTATCTATGATGGAGTTTCTCACGATTTTATCCCTTTTAGAAATAATTTTATTATAATTCTCTTTAGTTTAATTTTATGTAGAATAAATTTTTCACTAAATGATACAGTTAACCAAACTTAAATATGTAAAAGATTCATAAAAATATAATGAAGTTAGAGACGTACAACTACATATTCACACATGTAATGAAAAATGTCTAACAATAATATAAATAACTAAATTTATGAGATCATAAAAAATATAGTTAAACATAGCTTTCAATTTCATATTCTTCGATTTTTTCTTTTTATTTGGTTTTCTGGTTTAGCCTTATATAGTTTTTTCCGTTCTTTGCTATCTTCATCTTCACTTTTTTTCATTTATTTATTTATTTTTATTTTTTTTTGCTTTTCTTGGTTTTTATTCTTCTATTTCTTCTATGATTATTCATACCATCAAAAATTATAGGTTTCGCTATATTTTGTATCTTTCATCTTCCTCTTCTTCTATATATTTTCTTCTTTACTCTAGTTTCTATGTTTTTTTTTTAATTCTTTTTCAATTTTTCCAACTTTGATTTCTTCTTTGTTCTTATTTGTTTTCTTATTTATCTTCACTCATTTTCACTTATGCTCTTATTTGTCTTCGCTCTTCTTTATTTCTCCTTTGTGTTATTGTTTGGTTTCTACTTTTCTTCGTCTTCACTTTTCTTTATTCTTTCTTTGTGTTCTTATTTGGTTTAATTTTCTTCTTCACTCTTCTTTCAATGTTTTTAAATTCCTTTTATTTATTACTTCTTCAATTTATCCTATTTTGATTTATTTTTTGTTCTTATTTGGTTTCTTATTGATCTTCACTCATCTTTGTTACTGCTCTTCTTTATTCCTCCTTTGTGTTCTTTTTTTGGTTTCATGTTTTTCGTTCTTATCTTAGCAAAATTTTACATTTTAGAAAAAAATTAATGTTAAATAAGCTTATGTGTACTAATAATATTAGTTGTTTTAAGTTTATATTACTAATTTACATGACACAGTTTTAATTTTATTGTAAATGGGAAATATACTTTATTTTTTTTCTAAACTATTTAGTTAATAAAACTTTCTGAAATATGAAAAGATAAAAAAATAATTAGTTTTAGTGATACTGTGGGATGATACTATTTGTTGTTTAAAATCATATATACTTAATTTTCTTATTTCTTACATATTTAAAAATTATAATTTTTCTTAATCATGTAAATGCTTATTTGGACCAATCAAAATTAAGATCATAGTAAATTTTACATAATAATGTTGAATAAGACTATTGATTGTTTAAAATTTAGAAAATTAATTAATCTTTTTAAGATAATTATTTTGACCAATAAAATCATTTTTCTAAATTCTATGTGGATTATATGATGATGTAGACTGATACTATTAGTTGTCTAAAATTCAAAAAAAATCTTATTTTTGAAGGTACTTATGTGGACAAGTAAAATCGCGTTATTAAATCTTATGTGAACGCTTTTAGAGACATTTAGCCTCAATTTTTATATAGTATAAAATATGGTTATATTATTATTGTTGTCTTATATATTAGAGTTAATAAAAAAACTTATTCATGTTAAGTTATTTTCTTTGTTGTTGGTATTAATTTTTTTTAAAAAAAATTTTAAACTCTTTAATACAAAAAATCTATACTATTCTTGAATTAGGTAACTTTCTTAAACAATGAAAAGGAAATTAACTAATTTTATATGATGATGTGTCTATACTATTCTTGAATTATGAAACTTTCTTGAACAATGAAAAGGAAATTAACTAATTTTATATGATGATGTGGAATGATACTATTGATTGTTTAAATTTGGAAATTTTCTTAATTTTGAACATGCTCACGTGGACCAATAAAATCATGTTTTATAATCCTATGTGGACGCTCTCAGAGGCTTATAGCCTCAACTTTTATATAGTATAGATTGTCTCGCGGGGAAATTTCAAAACTACACCTCTTGAGGTGCCAATTTTCAAAAATACACCTCTCTGGTATCTATTTTCAAAACTACACTTTTTTCATTTAGTAAAAGCCCTAAAATATAAATCCAAAACCCTAAAATCTAACATTGAACCCTTAAATCTAAACCCTAAACTCCAAAATCTAAACCCTAATCTAGGATTAATGAACCCAAACATATATATTAAAATTAGGAAAAGGTGTATTTTTGAAAATTTCTACACCATAGGTGTAGTTTTGAAAATTTGCACCTCAAGAGATGTATTTCATAAAATTTCTCTTGTCTCGCACTTGTCATTTTAAAATAATAATTTCTGCCAAACCTCTTTGCAGTTGAAGAAGTAAGACTTTTTCCCTTCTGATTGGGTAACCGGATATCCCGAGGTAGAGTGCAAGGACTATATACTACTAACCGCATCCTTTTTTTTTTATGTCCATGTATATACGTTGAATTATACCTATCTTGGTTTTGTTTTTGGTCGAATATACCTATCTTGGTTTACTCACTATATATATATAACGACTGATACCATGGTTTAAAATTATCCCGAGTAAGCATTAGACTGCTATTGTTAGATACTCATTTATGTTGTTGGCATGTTAATGTTATGTCCTATTGAGACAGATTTGAGTTCTGACTTTGGAATTGCAATTCGGCTTCAAACCAAGAAAATGGAGTGAAGAACATTGTAATACAAAGAGATATTTAACAACGTGACACCATACAGAGAGGTAAAATGGTTACTGAAGAAAAATAGATTAAACGTGGTCTACATTGAATAGCGGAGGCTAATGCATCTCTAAAATTAGAGGTGTGAAAATGGACTTGTTACTGAGTTGGATAGTCGGTGAATGTGCAACCACGTAACAAGTACGGAAAGGTGGCAAAAAATAAAACGTTCTTTTGTTGAATGATTGTGGGAGGAGGGGAATAAAATGTTAATAAAAGTGAAATGTTTTTTTTTTTTTTTTTTTGAAAAACTCAATTCTAAAGAACGTATAACTTTTAATAATAAATAATAAGATAGAGTAAAATTTTTTTTTTGTCCTTTTGCAATTGTAAAAGAAGGTTATAATTATGTAACAAGATGAGAAAAATATAAGGTGTTCTACTAATCATGGCATGATAAGAGATCATAAAATGTTAGTTGACAAAAAAAATCATAAAATGTTAATTAAATTAGATTAAATTGAATTAATTTAATTTCCATACCACCCGCGCTACTTTTTTTTAGTAGTTAAAGAAACTCTAACCATTCAATTAATCACATGTTTATATTACTAATAACTTTTTCATTAACCTAAAAATGCCTAAATATCTATTTAATCCAAAAATAAGAAATAAAGAGACGTCCTTCGTAAGCTTTTTTTTTCTGAACTAAATTAAAAGAATAAAAAGTTAATTATATTTGTATTGAATTTTGTTATCACTTTTGTCTTTGCAATATGATTTTATGTTATATATATATATATATATATACACGCTTCCAACACGTACATGCTTCCTATATTTTTTGGAAAAACTCGTTCCAACGCTTCCAAACGCTTCCGCTTCCGCGTACCTGCTTCCGATTCCATGGAGCATACTTAAGACTGTCGTAGAATAGTAAATGTATATTTATAAAATAATCTTCTCTATAATATATAAACATTATATTTGTCTTTCTTGTTAGATTATACTAGTAGTCTGTCCGCGCAGTGGCGCGGAGTTATGTTTTTGTATCTTATAAGTTTAGTTTTGTTTTGGCATTTAACCCGAGCAATTAATAAAATGGGTAGTGTAGATTATTTTTGATATAATAGATATAGTTTTTTTTTAAGTTTTTCAAAAAAAAAATTGGGCTTTCAAATATATTTCTAGTTTCTTTTTGGCTTTTGGAATTCAGGAAAAAAAATCAGGTTTTCGAGGATTTTTTCAGGTGTTTGAGTATGTTTTTTGTTTTAAGGGTGATGAATAACCGAAATATAGCATTCAGTTTTGGGTTTGAACCCGAACCTGCATAGACCCAACCCGATATCGAACCAAAATTAATATGGTACTATATGAGTACAAAGACCATCAATCTATAGACCCGGACCTAATCGGTATCTATCCAAACCCGACCGGTCACCCGCAAGTCTATGAGGAAACATGTGAACCTATTTAATTAATATATTCGATTTCTGGTTTAACTGAATTAACCATTCTCCGGTTTGTTTTAAATTATCGTAGAGGATCCATATCTATCACCCAAATAATTCGGGTTTGATTTTTTATTTTTTAAACTATTGATTTGTTTTAAGTTATTATTCTTGTATTCAATCAGTTTTTCTCCTTTATTTTTATATCCAAATAATTTTTTTTTTATATTCAAATATTATAATGTACTTCTCGATTAATAATATAAAGATATGTTAAAATTTAACACAATTCGTAAACTATCTAATATATAATTAATACATTAATTTGTTTCAAAAAGATAATTTTTTAATTTATTCCAGATAATGTTAACATTTTTGCAACACATCACAATATTATATGAGCTAAAAGAGATTTAAAAAAGTCTAATAGTTTAATGAGTAAATCGGATGACAGTATTTAGAAAATAAAGTAAAGAAACAACATGTTGGGATGTCAGTTCAAGGCAATGTTTTTAAAACCGGACCGGAGGACGAACCGGAAAGATCTTCGGATCATGGGTCAACACGATCCAACTGGTTCAATCGGGTTTTGATATAATTACATATATATATATATATATATATATATATATATATATAGCAAGTAATATTTAAATGTATATTAACCATTAATGTGATTTACTTATTTTTTCAATAAAAATGAATTAAAGAAATTACATGTCATCAGACCCTACTCTTTTTCTTCCTAAACAGCTGCCGCCTCCCTCTTACTTCTCCTTCCCTTCTCCTTTCTTTTTCTTCGAGTTTCTGTAAAACTCTTCTTCTAAGTTTATTTTCTTTCTTAGATCTCCATTTTCTTGTTTTCCTTCTTAATATCATATCAAAATTGATAAGAGAAAATCAACACTAGAAGATTCTGTAACTATGAAAAACACATAGTTTTTGTTCTACATGAATATAAGTGGTGTGATGAAGCTTGGAAGGGACAAAAATGGAGTACAGGAAACAAAACCGGGTTGACTAATTACTCAAACCGGCCGGTTTCCGGGTTTTGGCCGGTTTTTTGCCGGTTTTTATGGGTCAGTGACAATTACGGTTTTTCCTTAAAACCAAACCGGGATAGGCACCGGTTCCCGGTTAGACCGGTCGGACCGGCCGGTCCGGTCCGATTTTTTAATCATTGGTTCAAGGTTTACATCTAAAGTTAGACAAATATTTGTGTTGGACCCAGATTCCACACCTGGAATCTAGCCCGTAAGGGCCCATTACCTTGATCCAAGATTGAAGTCCAGGCCCACTCAAGCCCAGCAAGAAGACCTCGAGCCCACCAAGCGACTCCCTCGTAAGCCAGTTAACTGCCATCCGAGCTATTCCGGTCGACGTAAAGACGAGCTCCAGCTCGATCAAGGACCAGGTCGGCACTGCGAAGAAAGACGAAGTCAAAGAAGATCTCCTTCAAATCCGGTCTGGTCCGAGATCACCGGGATCGTTAGCTGCACGTGGCGAGATACGCGGAGGTGGATCGTAGCTGATTCTGGAGCTATAAAAGGAGCTTGACAGCAGTCGGATCAAGGGAGATCTTTTACAACCTTCTTCCGATCATTTAGACCTAATTACTATCATACTTTCCTTGTATTTTCCTTTGAGCTTAGTTCTTTCTCTCTTCTGAGAATTCATTGTAACCATTTTCATTCGTTTAATACAATTCCGTTTAGCCAAATCCTTGCTTACGATTCATTCGACTTACATCAAAATCTAGCCCTAAATCTCCCTAAGTTTCTTCCTTGCAAAACCTATAAATTTCGAGTGTGGTTTTCATAGCCCACATTTTGGCGCCGACTGTGGGGAGGAAACATAGATTTTCTTACACAAGGGTCGAACCTAAGCCAGGTAAGAGCGAAAATGGATACTATCCGGTCGCAAACCCAGGGATCTAACTCCCAAAACTCGATCCCATCGGATCAGATCACCTCGAACATCAGTAGCAGCCAAACTGCTGATGCATCGAGAGATCAGATCGCGTCGAATGTTGGTAGCCGCCAAACTGCCAACACTTCGAACACGCCGATCACATCTGCTACCGCCTCCACTGGAGTGCAGCTTAGCACTCCACCTCGCGTGGAACCAGTGGTGATCAATCTCGCCACGCCGGTAGCAACCCCGAGCCCGATTCTACCGAATCTGGGTTCGCACACCATCGAGAGACCTCTCTCTCGAGTTTGGGTCAGATCGGAAGATCCCCCAACAACTGTGACTCCACAGAGTCGGACTATTCCTGTTCGACCTGCATCTGCGACGCAAACTCCTCCGCGAGCTAGTCCAGATGATCTGGCACAGATCAAACAGCTTCTCACCAACCTGGTAAACGGTCAGCGCGACCACGAAACTAGGCTGGAGAGACATGAGAGACGCCTCGCTGAATCTCGAAACATCACTAGCCCGCCTCCGCGGACTCAGCTCGATTTTTCGACGATCTACGCATCTGGCGTACCTCAGGCGCAATTCGTTACGCCTTCGCGACCTCAAGTCTCTCAGACTTTCGGTCCACCGCCGAGCTCGCCACCAGTTGGCATAAATAACGAGCTCGCACCCAAGCGAGACGAGAGCTCAACCAAACGTTCCGCTCTCATCTCCACCCCCAGGGCCACCTGGTACCGATCCAGCTAGGCCTAGGTGGTTTGGCGCTTCAGCTTTTGCCTCGAGCTCGCAGGCAATGCCTCAGTTCGAGAATCAGCTAGGCGCACATACGGTTCACAGCCCTCCGCAACAGCGCGAGAGCACGTGAACGGGAATTATCAACAATTCCCTAGCTCGAACGGTCAGCCCAATCGAGCTCAACCAAGGAGCTAACGATTCACAAATCAAGCTCCATATCCGATTCCAGCTAATCGGAATCCAGCTGATCCGTAACCTCGTCGACAGCGAATCTTTCGAAAGATTCCAAGATCGCACAGACCTCGCGTTTCAGCATATGAGCTCAATGTTTCATCAAGCAACGAGCTCAGCTCCTGATATCGACAGAGTGATTAAAGAGTCTAGACGAACTCCTTTTTCACTCAGGATCAAAAGTACCTATATTCGAGATACCAGCAAGCTGCGTATCCCAGAATACTCTGGTAACAGCGATCCGAGAGCTTACATGCGAGCTTTTAACCTCGTCGTATCTCGAGTTCCTTTCTCTCCAGAAGAGATAGAAGCAGCCTACTGCAGGCTCTTCGCTGAGAACCTGATCGGACCAGCTCAAGAATGGTTCTCAACGCTGGACGAAAACTCAATCGATAATTTCGACCAGCTCCAATCAGCCTTCCTAAAACAGTATTCGATCTTCATCGAATCTAAAATTACGGAAGCAGACCTTTGGAGACTTTCTCAAGGTCCAAAGGAATCACTTCGATCTTACATTGACAGATTCAAATCAGTCAAAGCTAAGATCACAAACCCTAATGAGGCAGTAGCTCTACTTGCCCTCAAAAACAACTTGTGGTACGAATCGAAATTTAGAGAAGAACTAACTGTTCGACCTACAATTTCACTAGATGACGCATTACATCGCGCATCAGCATTCGCAACTCTCGAGGAAGACACAGCTCTCCTCAGAGAAAAATACCTCAAAGGGGAGCTCGCATATGCTCCACCAGGTGCTAAGAAAACTGCACCAGCTAAACCACCTTCGCAGAGTAAAGGACAACATTCCTACTCTATCGAAACTTCAGCTCCCATAAAGAGCTCGGAGGAAGAAGAGAAACACTGCGATATTCACAATACAAACGGCCATTCCACAGAGGAATGCCGTGCTAAAGGCAAAAAGTCTAGCAAAAAGAAGGGAAAAAGCAAAACAGCTGAAACCGCGGTTAAGGCCGAAAAGCCAAAACCCAAACCAGCTAAAGACTCCGACAACGCACCTCAGAAAAGAGAACGCGAAGTCGAGGTCGAAGCCCCCGATTCCCCTCCTTCTAACAGGAAAAGAATCGACCTAATCTTCGGAGAGCTCAGCCTTTGCGGCGGCTCAACGAGATCCGTGGTCACCCCCCCACCCGCTCCTAGAAAGGCTACGAGCTCTAGCTCACACAGACCTCCTAGACTTGTCGGGGGGATAGAGCATTCTTACAGAAGCTCGCCTGTTACATCACCTACCTCCAGACCCGATACTAAGAGCATTGCGATCTCTTGCTTACGCAGACTTCACAAGCTCTCGGGGGGAGTAGAGCCACCTACCCCTAAACGAATTGACTTCATTTGCGGTGGCTCGAAGATGTGCAAAGACTCGATTAACTCGATCAAAGCACATCAGCGACGGGTCGAGTCATCTGGACAACCACGTCCTCTAGACGGACCTGATCACGAAATCAAATTTCGAGAAAGCGAAACACTCGCACTCGATAAACCTCATGACGATGCACTCGTAATCGAGCTCGCCGTAGCCGGATTCGAGCTGACCAGAGTCATGATAGACACAGGAAGCTCTGTAGACGTGCTGTTCTACGATGCTTTCAAGCGAATGGGATTCGAAAACTCCGCACTCATAGGAGGCCGTACGCCCCTAACTGGGTTCGCAGGAGAAACGACCTATTCCATGGGAACTATCCAGCTCCCAATCAAAGCAGGTGGTATAACGAAAACAGTTGACTTTGTGGTCGTAGATCGCCCCGCGCCATTCAATGCCATTCTCGGCAGGCCGTGGCTCTACACCATGAAAGCAGTTGCATCCACTTACCACCAATGCGTCAAGTTCCCTACACCTTGGGGGACAAAAACAATTCGCGGTTGCCAACGAGCTTCCCGAGATTGCTATATGGGCAGCTACTTGCGAGCTGAAAAATCGCCAGTATAGCAATTACAGAAAGAAGAGGAGCTCGCGATTCGGCAGATCAAACATGGCAAAGATCCGACCGTCCGCGAACCTCGAAAAGACTTGGTCACTCAGGTTTGCATCGACGAAACCGACCCCGAAAGGCGCGTTGGTATCGGAATCGATCTCGCAAAACCTATCCGTGACGAGCTGATCGCCTTCCTAAAGGAAAACATCAGCACATTCGCATGGTCCACCGCGGACATGCCCGGGATTGACACTAGGATCACGTCTCACGAGCTGAACGTAGATCCCACGTTCAAACCCATGAAACAAAAACGTCGAAAACTCGGCCCAGATCGGGCTAAAGCAGTAAACGACGAAGTAGACCGACTACTCAAGGTAGGCTCGATCAGAGAGGTGAAATACCCCGACTGGTAGCTAATCCTGTAGTTGTCAAAAAGAAAAACGGAAAGTGGAGAGTCTGTATCGATTTCACAGACCTTAATAAAGCTTGTCCAAAAGACAGCTATCCACTTCCTCATATAGATCGCTTGGTCGAAGCTACGGCTGGTCACCAGCTCCTATCCTTCATGGATGCGTTTTCTGGGTATAATCAAATCAAGATGAACCCAGAAGATCAGGAGAAAACAGCTTTCATAACAGACCGAGGTACTTACTGCTACAAAGTAATGCCATTCGGGCTAAAAAACGCGGGAGCTACATATCAGCGCCTCGTAAACAAAATGTTTGCCGATCAGCTCGGTAAAACAATGGAGGTGTACATAGACGATATGCTGGTCAAATCCTCTAGGGAAACAGACCACGTCGCACAGCTCCGGGTATGCTTCTCCATACTTAACAAGTACGGCATGAAGCTGAACCCGACTAAGTGTACATTCGGAGTTCCGTCTGGCGAGTTCCTCGGTTACCTAGTAACTGAACGCGGAATCGAGGCGAACCCGAAGCAAATCTCTGCCCTCTTAGATATGCCTTCTCCAGAAAATACTAGAGAAGTACAACGGTTAACCGGTCGAATAGCAGCCCTTAATAGGTTCATTTCCCGGTCAACCGACAAGTGTCTTCCATTTTACCAGCTCCTCCGAGGAAATAAAAAATTCCTCTGGGACGAAAAATGCGAAGAAGCTTTCAAACAGCTCAAAACTTACCTCAGCGAACCTCCTATACTGGCAAAACCAGTAGAAGGAGAACCGCTATACCTTTACATCGCGGTCTCGCCTGCAGCGGTCAGCGGGGTCTTAGTTCGTGAAGAGCTAAACGAACAAAGACCAATCTTTTACGTAAGTAAATCCCTGATTGATGCCGAGACTAGATACCCAGCTATGGAAAAACTTGCCTTAGCAATAGTAATGTCCGCTCGCAAGCTGCGACCTTACTTTCAATCACACACAATCGTGGTGATGACCTCGCAACCATTGCGAACTATGCTACATAGTCCAAGTCAATCTGGACGACTAGCTAAATGGGCTATCGAGCTCAGCGAATACGACATCGAATATCGAACTAGAACCTGTGCTAAAGCCCAGGTACTAGCTGATTTCATGATCGAGCTGGCACCGGAAGCCAATAACGATACCACCCTCTCTAAAGTTTGGACACTCTTCGTAGATGGAGCCTCGTCCAAACAAGGAGCTGGCGTCGGAATCAAACTCACATCTCCAACCGGAGAAGTGATCGAACAATCGTTCAGACTCGGATTCGTCGCCTCTAACAATGAGGCCGAATACGAGGCACTCATAGCCGGACTCCGACTCGCAATCGGGATCGGCGTGAATGAGATCAACGCATTCAGCGACTCCCAGCTCGTTACTAGCCAATACAGCGGCGAGTACGAAGCAAAAGAGGAGCGCATGGAAGCTTATCTCAAAGTAGTTCGAGATTTAGCTGGACAATTCAGTAAATTCGAACTAACTAGGGTGCCTAGGGGAGAGAACACTTCGGCTGACGCCTTAGCTGCTCTCGCCTCCACTTCGGACCCAACTGTAAGACGTGTGATCCCAGTCGAAGGCATAGATAAACCTAGCATCGACATCGCACTCAAGTCTGACAGTATAAACGCAATTACCTCGCGCCCGTCTACTCGTTCTCAAACTAGACAGTCCCAAGATCCGGGACCATCTAACCCGGAACCTGATTCCGAGGAGGAAGAACCTGACCAAGATAGGCAAAAAACAAGGTATATCGATTCGGACTCTTCGCAAAATACGCAAGAGTCCACGATCCATACCGTCCCATCTGCTATGGCGAACGAACTCACCTTAAAGGAAGAGTTCGCTGCGAGACCCGACTGGAGAACCCCTAATCGAGTATATCCAGCTCGGAGCCGTCCCTAACGAAAAATGGGCATCTCGCAAGCTAAAAGCCCAAAGCGCACATTATTGCATATGGAAGATAAGCTCTACAAGCGAAGCCTTATCGAACCATATCTAACATGCATCCATGGCGAAGAAGCTTACACCGTAATGCACGAGACTCATCAAGGACCTTGCGGAAGTCATTCCGCAGGCCGAGCTCTCGTCATACGGATTAAAAAGCTAGGCTACTTCTGGCCGACGATGATCAGAGACTGCGAACAGTACTCCAGGCGATGTGACAAATGCCAAAGGCACGCCCCAAGCATTCACGTCCCAGCTGAAACACTCTCATCGATCTCTTCACCTTATCCTTTTATGAGGTGGTCTATGGACATAATAGGACCTATGGTCTCTTCGGGACCGAAGCAATTCCAATACCTATTAGTCCTTACTGACTACTTCACTAAATGGATCGAGGCCAAACCATACCAACAAACGACCGAACTCGAGGTCCGGAAATTTATCTGGAAAGACATCATTTGTCGACACGGGCTCCCTTTCGAGATCGTGACAGATAACGGATCTCAGTTCATAGCTCGAACATTCAAAGACTTCTGCAAGAAGTGGAACATACGCATAACGTATTCCACACCTCGTTACCCTCAAGGGAACGGGCAAGCTGAAGCAACAAACAAAACCCTCTTGAGTAACCTCAAGAAACGACTCGACGCCCGTAAACATAGGTGGTCCGAAGAGCTCGCAGCAGTTCTTTGGGCTTGCCGAACTACACCTCACAAAGCTACCATGAGACCCCGTTCTCATTAGCTTACGGGCTAGAGGCCGTCATCCCAACTGAAACTTCCGTTCCAAGTCTTCGCAGGATGCAATGTCCAGCGAACGTCGAGCTGAACGAAGAAATGTTGAGAGATCACCTTGACCTTATCGACGAACGTCGAGATCAAGCTCTGATCCGGATACAAAACTATCAACAGGCCGCAGCTCGCTATTACAACTCCAAGGTTAAACACCGGAGCTTTCGTATAGGCGACATGGTTCTGAGAAAAGTACAAGACTATACCAAAGAGCGCAATGCAGGGAAACTTGGGACCAATGGGAAGGTCCCTACCTCATTACCGAAGTAGTTCGCGATGGCGTCTACAAGCTCACAAAAGTCAGAAACGGAATACCTGAACTAAGACCTTGGAATGCGATGAACCTGAAAAGGTACTATCACTGAAAAGGATCTAATCTGAGTATCTCCACCCCTCGAACTACGTTTAGGCTTGATCCTCCTTCCCTGGGGGTACGTAGGCAGCTCAACCACGAGTCCAGCCCCAATCCGAATTTACTTCGTTTTATTTGAGACGACCTCATTGGCCGGCCCTAAAACGGGCTCGATTTGTATCATCTCGAATATTATACTTAAATAAAATGTTTTCTATGTTTATCGCTACGAATTGCTCGAATCAATTCCGAATTACTTAAGCGTATCAATTTACGTCGAAAACGCCTGATGCGTGACCTGAAAAGAAATCGAGCTCTTTCTCTCGTCTCAAAACAGATCGGAAGATCGAGATCACCTCGATATTCCCCTTTCGAACGAAGTGAGGTTCAGAGTCCACCTCTTTACCTTCAATTTCTTACTTCGCAAAAAACCAATCGAAGTCCGCAGCGTCCAAGCATCCAGCGTAGTGTTCTAGCAATCGTAGAACCGAAGACCCAGAGACAGCCCGAAATCTAACACGAAGCCGAGCCATCCAGACGGACCTAAAGTTCACGATTAGCTCGGAACACTATCGGCGAAGCGACAAAACCAAGACGAACTTCGAAAGGTAATAAATTCCATCTCCAAAAGCCGAATAAGAAACACCTCGATCGAAAGACGGGAAAACAACTCCGCAAAGCGCGAGCTACATCAGTTCGCCAAAGAGCTCGAAAAAGAATAAACACCACGTTTAGCTCGATCCGTGCGATCGACGAAAATCGGTAAAATTCGCCTAAGTGTTGAATCGATCTAATCGTCCCGAATTGGACTTGATTCGACCTAAAACTATGTTTAGCTCGTTCCACGCGATCAGCCAAAACTAGTAAAAATTCGCCTAAGTGTTGAATCGATCTAATCGTCCCGAATCGGACTCGATTCGACCTAAAACTACGTTTAGCTCGACACACGATCGGCCAAAACTAGTAAAAATATTCTAAGTGTTGAATCAACCTAAACGGATCGATTCGACCTCCGACTAAAGTACATCTTGGCCCTGGTCTCTCGACCGGCCAAAACACTTAGTCAAAAAGCCTCAAAACATTTTGGCAAGTAAAACGCGAGCTAAATGAAAGTTGCAAAACAATTTGAGCAAAACGCCTAAGGCAAAACGCCTAAGGCCAAAACATTAAAAGCCCCCGCGGGCAAACGAGTTTGTGGATAAAAGCCTTCCCAGGCACCAAATCCGAAACATAAAGCGTAAAAACCCCGCCGGGCAACCAAGTCTTAAAATAAATTGAAAAAGGAGTAGAGATAGAAAGAGGTCGACCAAGAGCTCAGTCCTCGACGGTCATCTCTTCATCTTCCTTCTCTTCCTCCTCGTTGCTTCCCTTCTCTTCGGCATTCGTCCCGAACGGGTTCAAGCCAACCGGGATGCTCGTCGATGGGTCGATCTCCATGCGCGCGACCGAGTCCTCCGAAACCACGGGAAGGTTAACTTCCCGATCGAGAAATCGGAGACTTGGGCCGCCTTGGCTGCTTCGGCCACCTCATCCTCGAGCCCCTTCAACCTGGCGAGCTCTTCCTCCTGGTTGATCGCACCGGAGATCAGCGACGTAAGGAGATCGATGTTGGATTGGAGTTCGATCTGATCGCCCTCCTTCTCACCTTCCACCCTCTTCTCCTCGAACTTTGCCTTAGCCGATTCAAGCACTTCCCGATGCTTCGCGACCATCTCCCTCCGACCTGCGCGGTTGGCACGGCGAGCTACGTTGTCCTTCTCGGCGACGAGTACCTGGTTCTCCCGGCTAAGGCGAAGCGACTGCGTCAGCGCACTCGAGCTCTCCTTCTGCAAAGCCGCCATCTGCTCCTGATTCTGGGACAGCTGGCGCAAGAGATCGGCCTCCCTGGTCTCGAGCTCTTTCACACGACCCTCCTGCGAGGTGTGTTTCTTCAAGAGCTCACCCTGACGAGCTACCCGCTCGTTCGCCGCAGAGAGATCGGAGGTCAACTTGGCAACGAGCTCCTTCACCTGATCGAGCTCTTTCTGCTGAGGCGCGTCTCTGATCCTCGACTCCAGGCGGGACACCAACATGTTACGAGCTGCCACAGCCTAACAAAAACAAAAATTCAACCAAGGCCAAAACAACAACAAAGACTCTCGTCTAAAGTTTTGACTAGGGAAACAGTTCTACCCTCCCACTCGCAGCGCACGTCGCGATGTAGAGCTCCTTCTCAGACATCTGGTTCAGGGACGGGAGCCGGCATCCGACGGGCTTGAAGTGGAGCTGAATGCGAGCTGTTCCCTCCTCGTCGTCCTGAACGGGGAAGCCTCTGGAGTTCTCGTACTGCCAGTAAAACGGCGGCTTTCCCCCGCTCCCGTTCGAGGCAGTCGGGCCGCCCTCGCGAGAACGAGTCTCTCCATCGTCACTCCGAGCTCGCTTCGGCGCCTGCCTCGAGTGACCTTGATCCGAACTCCGAGTCCGATCGGAGCTCACATGAACCGTACTCGGGAGAGGAACGACTCTCCTTCAGCGGTCGCGTCGACCTGGTCAACCACCTGGTCGGCAAGGGCAGAAGACCCCGCCGTGGGCTTCGAAGCCATAGCCTCCTCCACCGCCGTTACGAACTCGCCGGCACGAACTCGACTTCCACCCGAGGAAGCGCCCTTGGCACCCTTTGCGGTCCGGGATCTGAGAGGCTGACGACGGGTCATTCTTCGATCTGCGTGAGAGAGGAGGAACAGAAGAAGCGGAGCTAGAATCTTGCGCCGATCTAACCGGAAGATCAGCTGGAAAATTTATATAAACAGCTCGTTATAAAGAGTTCGTAAAATGAATTTCTAGTTGGTCCAAGGGAGATTATTACCTGGAGGAGGAGCAGGAGGAGAGCTGAGAACTCGACGGATCCGTTCCGGAGTAAAAGTACTCCAGTTCACCTTTTCCCTTCCGAGTCGCTCGACGAGGTAATCAATCCCCGGGTTGTTCGGTACTGGATCTACAACTGCAAACAAAAAAAATCATCAATAAACGAGGTATTCCATAAGTCAAGCGAGGTATCGACTATCCTAAACGGAAATCGGCCTAAGCTAACCAACGCTAGTCGCCCACTCCGTTCGGATTCGACCAAAGTCGAAGTCGCCCATCGTGGCCTCGCTGACCCGGAAGAAGAACATCTCGTCACTCCACCCGCTATCCCTCTGCGGGGTGTTCGTGAATATTCGCCGATTCGGCCTCGGCGAGGAGTAAAACGACCCGGGAAGCCTGGTGTTGTTCTTCACCGAGAAAAGCTTTCTCAGATCTCGAACACCGAACGAGACGCCCTCTTCCCGAGCTCGAACCGCACATCCTATCACGTGGCGGACGAAGCTCGGGTGCATCTGTGGAAACGCCATCTTATAATGGGCGAGCGCTTCCATCAGAAAACGAGGGACCGGGAAAATCATCCCGGCGCTCCGCCAATACGACGTATAGGCGCAGCAAAACCCCGGACGAACATGCTCCGGGTCCTCTCCCTCAGCCGGAGAACGAGTTCGATCTCATCCGGGATCCCGAAATCCTGCCGGAAGCGTCGAGGCTTTCGGCGTCGAGCGTCGTCTCGGCGTGCGGCGTGAATTCCCGTCACCGCCGAGGTCGACGGCCTTTCCCTTCTCTTGCTTGACGATTCTTCGGAGGCATGATAGTCGGAGGAGAGACGGAGGAAAAAGAGGTTGAAAGAGTTTTTGGAGAAATTCGAAATCGAAACAACCTAAAACGCTCGAAAGTTTGCAAAGGTTCGATAATTTTCAAGAACTTGGAGTTATCTAATCTAAAACTCGAAAGCAAATAAATAAGTAAAAGAGAGAGGAGAAGTTACCTTTTCAAAAACGTGGGCACGGTTAAAGAGAAGAGTAGTGGGTCGAGTTTATATTCAGCATTAACTGCTGAAGAGATCGCAAAGAATCCGATTTTTCTGCGTGAATCTCGACCGTACAACTCACAGATCTTAACCGCTTGCATGCGACGAGCTGATGATGTGACGCGCTGTGGGTCCCAAACGATCTCAGCCGCACGGACTCTTCGCTCTCCTCGATCTGAACCGTCCGATTCGAAAACATAATCATTTCGAATCTTGAAAATATGCGATATCGTTATCGAGGAGCTCGGTTTGCGAGATTGCAGGTGAGTTGACAAGATTTGCGCGATCTCAGCCGTTCATCTCGATTCAACGGCCAGATCTTATCTTCACCTCGAAGAAAAGAAAAAATTTAATGCCTAAGGCAATTTCCAACGACGAGATCCCCGCGATCTTTTACCCCGTTCAAACCTTGCGGATAAGCTCGAATATACCCCGAATCGAGGAATTCGAATTTAGCCCGGCAAAAGTTTGAATTTTTGAAATTAAAACAAACCGCCCGTTTTAAGTTCGAAACTCACTTAAAAGGGCTGGGGGGCAATTGTTGGACCCAGATTCCACACCTGGAATCTAGCCCGTAAGGGCCCATTACCTTGATCCAAGATTGAAGTCCAGGCCCACTCAAGCCCAGCAAGAAGACCTCGAGCCCACCAAGCGACTCCCTCGTAAGCCAGTTAACTGCCATCCGAGCTATTCCGGTCGACGTAAAGACGAGCTCCAGCTCGATCAAGGACCAGGTCGGCACTGCGAAGAAAGACGAAGTCAAAGAAGATCTCCTTCAAATCCGGTCTGGTCCGAGATCACCGGGATCGTTAGCTGCACGTGGCGAGATACGCGGAGGTGGATCGTAGCTGATTCTGGAGCTATAAAAGGAGCTTGACAGCAGTCGGATCAAGGAGATCTTTTACAACCTTCTTCCGATCATTAGACCTAATTACTATCATACTTTCCTTGTATTTTCCTTTGAGCTTAGTTCTTTCTCTCTTCTGAGAATTCATTGTAACCA